AACTAAAGATTCAACAGATCCACCCCACACCCAGCTTCTAACTAAAGATTCAACAGATCCACCCCACACCCAGCTTCTAACTAAAGATTCAACAGATCCACCCCACACCCAGCTTCTAACTAGTTTTTTCCCCCCTAGTTATTAGTAGTCTTGTTCCACAGTTGAGACTGGGACCGTGTCTTTAGCGATGTAAGCCATTGTTTTATTAATGTGGCGCTACCTCTCTTTGTTCCTCTCATAAAGCACAGCACGGCAACATGAGTTTTGTAGCGTGGTTTGTTTCAGGGAAGAAGGCTGAAGTCAACAGTCAGAGCTGCAGCTGCAGTTTCGCACATGCTTATTAATGTCATGATGTCGGCGCAGCTGAAGAGGATTACAGGTATTATTTAATGTACCGGTATGTAAATGGTTTAATTTTTAGATATTTATTTTGCACAGTTACAGCTATTTGTTAATAAATGTTCCTGTGTGACTATTGGGACAAAACTTTGACTCAAATATATTTTGTTACTACTTTATGGAAAGAAAAAAATATTGATATATACACTGTATATCGCCATTCATCTTAAAATATCGGGATAGTAATTTTGGTCCATATCGCCCAGGCCTAGTAGCTACATATACAGTACTGTACGCATGTTGTTAAAATGACTTGGGTTTAAGAGTTTAGCAAGAGTGTCGAAAGGGTTTCTAAAGCCTTAAAATATATATAAATTAGGGATGCACTGATCCACTTTTTTTTTTTTTTTTTACTTCCGATCCGATCCCTAAATCTGTATATCAACCGATACCGATCTCTTTCCGATATCATGATCATCATTGATTTTATGAGGCTGTAATAATCTCCTCTCAAGTACAATTTGGACAAATATATGCATGCATGTCCAAAAAGACAACTTGAGGTAAGTTTTATTAATGTTGGATAAGTTTTAAAGTTAGAATTAAATTCTGCTAACACAAAACATGCTTTTTTTTATTCCTAGTTTTTAAGTGGATATTAAAGTGATTAATTTAAGTGATTCCTGATGCATGCTCAATAATCCAGGTAGAAAAATCCAAAAAAGTTAAATCTGGTAAGTGATTGTTTAAAGTTACATATATATTTTTAAATAAGGGGTAGATATAAGAATTTTTCTCCTTTCTGCACTCTTTTGATTCAATATTTTCTTTTTTAATGAATTTGTTTTATTTTTGCTTCTTTTAAATGAATTAATAATTTAATAAAATAAAATAAAATGTTAAATGGCTTTAATAAGTTCATGGCATAAACCAACAGACATGTTCCTGTTTTTAGTTATTTACATCACTTTATAATGTAGCTGTTTTTGTTTAATTTAAGGTGAACACAAGGTTAACAGTACAATGAAATGCTTAGCATGACGAGAACTGATTTGACTCGCTAAAACAACAACAAGAAGAAGAAAATACAAAAAAGCATGCAATAAGGGTACACAAAAAAGTACCAAAAAGTGAAAAAGTAGCTAAAAGTCTTGAAATCCCTGATTATTGACTGACTTCAGGTCTTGTTTAGATCTATATTCAATAGATTTTCCTTCTATAACATTGAGCTGCTTTACACTACTGTTGTACGAAACTAACATTAAACATTAATAATAGAAAAAGTAATTTGTGACACAGATCCAGTTGTGTTTGCTGTTAAACAGTTGTTTTGTCGGCTGTGAGTAGCTTTAGACGCCGTAGCTTCTCCATGATGTCAAAGACGTAAACAATGTGCAGGACGAGCAGAGCGCCCTCTAGCGGTTTTACACAACTCTGATTGGCACTTCTACAGCCTTTGAGCAAACTTCCACACGAGTGTCAAAATAACTATGGAGTGCAGTTTTATGTTTGAGGAAGAGTTACACACCCTGTGAGAAGTCACACACATCAGCACAAACTGTGTGTGCATGCATGCTAATGTTTGTAATGACGGACAGCAGGGTGTGAGATGTTTGCGTTACCTAAAGGAGAAGGAGGACTACAAATCTTCAGCTGCCCTAATTGTCCCAGGGCATGTCTCGATTCACAGACTGAAGACACAAGGGGGGGAGAAAGAACACACACACACACCAGTGGCTGTGTGTTAGACTGCTGCAGTGTTTTATTTCAAACAAAAGCCCAAGACTGCAGCTCACATGGATTCACAACATGAATCAAAGGCAGCTGCAGGCGTGCACTAACACATGCACCTCTGCCTGAGGCCTGTAGAGGGCAGCAAAGTTCTGGAAAGAGTTTCAGTGTATTGCTGCTTCTTACTACACGCACCGACATGTTTTCCTTTGTTTCCACCTACCTTTGATCTCAGTGTGCGCTCTGAGCGTTTGGCTGCAGCGGCGGCCATCTTGAGGATGTCTGGGTTGCTTTTAGACTTCATAATATCTGTTAGGAAAAAATAAATCCCTCTCAACCACAAGACTCAGTTAAAGCTACAAGAAAGTTGTGGATTAAAGGGATATTCTGGCCATTTTGAAGTGAACTTCTGTAGTTGTTAATATTAATATATTATCTGGTTCAGCGTCTCTCTAATGTGAGGTTCCACAGGGCTTGAATCTAGGATCCTTTCTGTTTTCATTGTATCTGCTCCCTTTGGGGTCTATCCTGATGGTCTTTCTTTTCACTGCTCTGCTAATGTTTTGGATTTATCTGCCCTTAAAACCCAGTAGTTCCTGCTCCATTCGCTCTCTGTTAAAATGTCTTGATGACATTAAGGCATGGATGGCTTCAAATTTTTAAATTTTAATGATCATAAAACTGTAGTTATTGTGTTTAGCCCTAGCTTTGCTGCTGTCTGTTCCAGTAAGCCTGGACTCTCTTGAGCCATTTCTTAAGCATATCAAAGTCCATGCTCAATAATCCAGGTAGAAAAATCCAACAAAGTGAAGTCAGGTTAGACCGTTTCTTTTTGTTGAAACATTTCGACTTTCATGCAAAAGACTTCGTAAGTCTGAGGAGCCAGACGAAACGTTTCAACAAAAATAAACCGTCCAGAGGACTTGGACATATCTTAAGCAATCTGTTACAAATGTCAGGATGGTTTTAGACTCTGACTTTAAGACTAATAAACAGATTATCTCTGTTCCACAGAAATGTTTCTTCCAGTTAAGGCAGATAGCTAAGTTTAAGTCAGTGTTGACCAGATCTGACCTTGACAAAATAGTCCATTCCTTCATTACAACCCAGCTAGAGTACTGTAACGCTCTTTATGTTGGGATCAATCAGGTCTCCCTTTCACATCTCCAGCTTGTCCAAAATGCTGCAGCTCGGCTTTTAACAGGAACTCGTAGGTTTGAGCACATTTCACAAGTTTTGTCCTCCCTTCACTGGCTCCTTATACGTATCAGAATAGATTTTTAAATTCTCCTGTTGACCTTTAAGTGCCTAAATGGCCTTGCAACTTCATATCTCTCTGACCTACTTCAACCACATGTTCCTTCTCGGGTGTTGAGATCATCTGACCAGCTGCTTTTGGTTGTACCTAAAACCAGGATGAAGCTTTTTCAGTCATTGGCCCTAAACTTGGGAACAATCTGCCCCTCAACAGTAGACAGACCACTTCACTTCCTGTTTTTAAAACTCTTAAAAACACCCACATTCATTGACATTTAACACAGTGTGATTTGATTTATTTGATTGTTTTGTGTTTGTTTTTCTTTTGATGCTTTTAATTCATTTTATTTTTTTCTTTAAATTACTGCCATTGATTTTTATTGTTCAGCTCATTGGTAACAGCTGCTGTTTTTAAATGTGCTTTACAAATAAATTTGACTGGACTTGTATTAGTTATGTAGGATGATATCTTACCTGTTGCAGATAGGCTTTTTCTCAGTTTGGTGTAAGTTTAAGTTTTTGCTGCCAATTTCAAATGACTCCAAGCTCCAAAATGTATGAACTATTCATGTAAACATTGTTTCATACACCTTTACATGCTCAGTTTCTAAATAAAGTGTTCACATTAAATTCAGCCTGAGGTGAAACAACCAAATACACTTAATTTTCTGCTGAAATAGCTCCTAAATGTTAAAAGGAAAACAATATGAACAATTCAATAGTAACATTTATGGGAACTTCTATGAAAACTGGAGCCTTTACAAGATGGACAAACTGGTCAAAAAGCTTGAATGCCTTCAAACAACTTCAGGTTTCTAAATTTCCCTGAAGTTCCTTCAGTCTCCATTATTTAAACCTTTACATTCGTTCTCCGCTCTGGATGTTCCTGGAAAGGAAAATCTCATGATTTGTCCATAAAGCCTTCACTGCCCTGCAGCTCAGTATAAATTGTGGCACGTTACCCAGTTTTAACCAGAATGAACTGTTTATTTTCTGTTTTAACACTTTTATTATTCTGCTCTTGCTGCAGTTTTTATCTAGTTTTATTTTGAATTCTGATGAATTGTATGATTTTATGTATTTGAAAATAATTTTGTTTACAAATAAAGCTTTAGTTGACATGAGCCACTGATTCCAGCAGAAATATGAATTTATTATAAACGAGCCCTCGGTCCGAGGACAGGTCATAACTTATGCACAGCCTGTAAAATGGTTGGAATATCCCTTTGAGGGGCTGGAGGTTTGAACTGTACCGTATCCTCCTCGGTCCACGTCGTCCAGCGCCGGCTGCCCGAGCGCCTCCTGAGCCTCCTGCAGCTGCTCTCTGAGCCGGCCAACGTCCCGCTCCGCCTTGGCCTTGACGATGCTCAGCTCCGTGTAGATGTCTTTGTACTTATCTGTCGCGTACTTCTTGTCCTGAAAATACATCGTCGGGCGAGTTAAGACACGAGGGAAACATTCTCACATGAATGTCGCCCGGCATACTCCATCTGAAGCCGTGCAGTCGACGAGCGCTCGCATCTCATTTGTTTTCTCTCACACCTTTCAGCGTCCACGAGACAGACGCAGAGCTCCCGGGAAGCCCCGCCCCCTGCTGCAGTAAAGTCACTGAACAGGTGGTCTCTTCCTGTCAGTCTCCACTCGTCCCTGCAGCCACCATCATGAAGAGCGCGCCACACTGTTCAGGAGACAGACTCCTCTGTGCATAATGTGTGCACGACACGTGCACGATCTCCATCCGTGAATTTTTGACCATTTGACTAATTCAGTGAGTTTAAAGAGTCGTGCAGCTGAATGTACAACTCTTTCAACTTTCCACATTGACGAGCACGTGCACAGACCTCTGACCAATCACACAGTCCGTGAGACACTTGTGAGAAAGTTCAGCTCAGGCCTCGTGTGGAGAAGGGGCGGAGCTACTCTGAGAACAAAATGACATCATTTTTGTCCCACAGCTACATGAAGGAGAGCCGAGTTGTCCCCTTCAGATGGAGCATGCAGGGCCCTGAAGTCCTGTCAGGGACAAGAGAATCAACATTTACTCTTTGAGCGGCCTGGAGCTCCTCCTTCAGGGAGTTGATCTCCTGCTTCAGGTACTGGACCTCAGACTCCTTCACCCTCAGCATCACCTGAGGAGAACAAGATGCTGAAACAGTTCCTGAGGGGAACAGCTGGTTTTGTCTTCTCACAGAAAGCTTTCATGACCTTACCTCCAACTCGTACAGCTCTTTTCCCTGCATCACAGCGTTGGGGTCTCCGTCCTCGCATGTCATGGAGCGCATCTTGGTGATTTCTGCTGCCAGACGGTTGTTCAGCTCCTGAACGTGTCACAAAGCAGCAGCTTGGAACAGACTTATAGTCGATTGTTCACAGTGGTTTTAGGTGTGTAACTGATGTGCACCTGGTTGTGTGCGTTGAGCTCCTGGTTCTCTCGCTGACACTGCCTGAGGGCCTGCCTCTCGGCCTCCAGCGCCTGAGCCAGGTGGGCGTTTTCCAGGCACTTCTGGGAGTACTGCTCGGACAGCACCTCGATTTCCCTCTGGAAGGAGCACACCTCCTCACTGAAACACAACGCAGCGCCACGATAAGAAACAGACAGAAACTTCCGTCACGTGACCTCACTGCTGTGATAAACTTGCCATGTGAGGTTTCTGAGCGCTGAAGGACGCAACGACTCCACGCTCGTACTGTCGAGTCATGTGTGAGACGTGCACTCATCAGCACAAAGTATTTTTATATTAGAGAATCTGACAGAATCGACACAAACCCTCACCTCAGTCTCATTCTGAAGATTCACGCTCTGGACTGAAACTAACGGAGCTCAAGGATCTCTACTAAATAAATTGAGCATGGAGTTTTTTTGGTTTTTGATCTCTGCTAAACATTTGCTGTAAATAATATTTTAGGATCAACTGGACAAAAAGGATCATTTTCAACAGCTTGTTTTTCTTTCGTGTGTGAACCTTTGTTGGATAAAACAAATATCCTTTCTAGGGATGCGCGATATTGGATTTTTGGCCGATATCCGATGATATGATGATATGTTAAAACTTATTTGGCTGATAACCGATGCAGATATTTTTTTAATATACTTTCCTTTGTTAAAACATAGTCCTCTTATTTAGGCTTATTTGCTACAAAAATTGTGCAACAGTTGTAAGAGCTGGTGACATATATTCAGTAACAGCCGTATGATATGCAGAGCACTTTAACTTATATTAAATGAAAAGTGTTAAGTGTTATTTATTAGTATTAGTCACCTTCGATGCTGTCTCACTTGTGGAGGTTTGTTCCAGGTTCCTAGCTGCAGTGTGAGATCCTCTGCACTCTTGTGCATGAAGGACAGACTTTTTAAGTTCAAAGTTTTTGTCTATCCATTGTGCCGTAAGACTAATCATGCTAACGGGGCTAACACGACGTCCAAATGTCTGTGGTAAAACTCACCCAACAAGTCGTGCTATCAGATATTAGCTTCTCAATGACATCAGATATGACAGCTTGTAACTCTGGTAAGGCTACGTTGGAAAAATATCTCTGACTGGGGACGATGTAGCGAGGCTCATCGTAGACAAAAATCTTCAGAATCCAACATCCTCAACAGAAAAAAAAACTTCCACACGGCCGACATTTTGAATTTTCCTCTCCGCTGTGAGATCAGGTAGGTGCGCATGACGCCATCACGTTGTTCTGGCACTGCAGGCATCCTTGTCACTGGGTTGTCGTACAAAAACAGCGTCTTTTATATCGGTGAGTTATTTTTATGGAATGAGCGATGTCCGATATTGAACTTTAACGCTAATATCAGCAGATACCGATACATGCCGATAATATCGTGCGTCCCTAATCCTTTCATCATCTCTTTACTCAAATAAGCCACTCTGAGGACTTATGCAGATGTTACATTGAAGCTCCAGTCACAAGGTCTGCCCATGGACAAATAGTTGGGGAAAGCTTTAATACCTGTTATCAGACCAAGCAAGGTCGAGACGACCTCTGCCTCACAGCTCACAGATTTGGAGGTATCAGAAGTTAAGTTATCTGCAGGCCGTTCATCAGACACCTACAGGCTCCTCTCCGAGTAGACAAAAAGACTCTATTGACCTCACACATGTGGTTCTACATTAACAGTAGTAGGTGAAAACATCCGTGACCTTTACATAAATTCCCCGGACAACCTTTATGAGAGAAAAGTTCTGGTACCACTTCGTTTGTTCAGAAAGTTCTGAAGAGCAGAGATTTGGTCTTGTTTGGCTGAAGCTCACGTCCACACGGAGCAGAGGGCAGACGGTGTTCAAAGAGTCAAAAATAAAAACAGATTATTTGGTAATTGTGATTTGAGTGTGTAGGAAACACAGGAGAAAACACTATGACGATTTTATTTTGTTGGATTAAAATATCCTCTGTTCATCAAAGAAGTCATGCTCGACGACACGAGAAGATTTTTAATCGTTTTTAATGTGCAAGGCCAGATCATCACAACAGGAAGTTACACGCATGGTGCTCAGTCAGGAGAATCTGCCTTGGGCAGCGTGTGAAACTCGTATTCATACCTGATCTAGCTCACAGACTCGGAGAGGACCTTGGAGCAACAGCTGCACCAGCAGCCTCACCCAGCTCTCTCAGCTAACTCCAACACATGGTTCATGGGCAGTTACCATCCTCAGCCATGATGAAAAACATCCATAAACCTTGACCAAAATTCCCCGACATTATTTTAGATCCTCTCCTCTACGTAAGATGGCTGCTGCTCCAGAGCTGGGTTCTGTCAAAAACTCATTTTTAACATAATCTGGGAAAAAGGGAAGTATTAACTCCAATAATCCAAATTATTTTGTTTTAAAAGAGCAGATCAAGTTTGGAAACAGGTCTGTTTAGAGTAACAAACGTTTTGTTTCCTGTCTTACATTTTGTCCTGTAATTAACGTTGGAGGATCTCATGGGTCACATGCACGTTTTCATCCATCTCTCCTCCTTCAGTTTGTGCGAGCTATCAGCTGAAAGACTCACAGCGGGGCTACCAGAAGAGGAACTCCTTCAGTTCACGTTTGCTGAACAGAACCCATCACTCTTTATGAACTGGTAGTTGGCGCGTCCATCAGTGACATAAAGAGGTTTGACCATCATCACGACTGGATGTTAGCATTACGCTTCGCAAAGCAGGAAACATCAAAGCACTGCTAATCTGAGCAGCTAGTACTTTTACTTTAGTGCTCGTCATGTTTCTGAATCATTCACACACTTCTCACCATGTTGTCTTCTGTATGTTTCCAGCACGTAACTCGTTGAGACATGTTTGATCTATTTCAACAATTCATGAATCAAAACGTTCGGCTCGTTCAGGACGTTCCTGCAGGGATTTTCTTATTCGTCATATTTTCACTTTTTGAAATATTTGGCTTCTTCGACCACGTTTTGTCTAAAAACTGAAACTGAATGGAGCTCTCTTCCAGGGTTCTCAGCATTTCAAGGAAAAAATAATTTCCAGAGTAAATCCTAAATTCCAGGATATTTCAGTCACACAAAGGGCTCAGAAGTTAGCGGGCGAAGGATTTCCTGCAGCAGCGAGTGATTAAAGCTCGTTACGAGTTATGAAACGGGTCACTGCAGAGGCAGAATCAACCGCTTTAAAACATTCAGATCTCAGAAACACATTCAGAGTTTCCCTGTGTGTGAAAAATGTTGGTCATTTCCAGGTTTCCTCTGATCCCCAGAGCTGCTGGAACCTTCTTCACATCTTTGTGCTCTTTAAAACCTCCAACTGCACTTTTCTTTCTGATATGTCAGCTTTTTAGGTGCCATTTAAGAGACTGAGCTGAATACAGCACCTCAGACTGAGGAAGTCTTTCGGATGAAGCGTATCTAGATTTTTTTTTTTTATGTCCAGAGGACCAGATTGAACATTTTTAGATTTTTCTACCTGGATTATTGAGCATGCATCAGGATGTCAGCTTTTTAGTTTAACCAAAAAGGTCCATGCTCAATAATCCAGGTATACAATCCAACAATTTTCAGTCAGGTCACCTGGACAGTTTCTTTTTTTTGTGCTGAAACGTTTCACCTTCCATCCAGAAGGCTTCATCAGTCAAGGAAACAACACAAAACTGGTTGTTCCCCCAACAGCTTCCTCCAAAGTGGAACAAACCAGTTATGTTGGTGCTAAGATGGTGTCTTTGACACGCCCCCTCCTCTTGGGCCAGCCCTCTTCCTCGTCGACAGACACCCTCTTAGCACCAACAAAACTGGTTTGTTCCACTTTGTTCCCCCAACAGCTTACTCCAATCAGTTTTGTGTTGTGTTTCCTTGATTGATGAAGCCTTCTGGATGGAAGGTGAAACATTTCAGCAAAAAAAGCAACTGTCCAGATGACTTGACTGGAAATTGTTGGATTTTTAGTTTAACATTTTCAGCTACTTTTTGTTGTTGCTAATTTCAGCTTTTTCTTTTCATTTTTTTCCGTTTTGCTAATTTCAGCTTTTTCTTTTCATTTTTTTCCGTTTTGCTAGTTTCAGATTTTTGTAATCTGTTCAGCCTCGTTCTGCAAATCTCAAACTCGTTTCTGCAAAGATTCAACGTGCAGAAAAGAGTTTAATGATGCAACATTTTTCAGCCTGGCTTCAACTCCTGCATTCTTCAGGAAGCCTTCTCAATGCAGGTTCACTGCATTAGCTGACATGACATCACCATGAGATGATTCTGAGTCTGAACATCGGATATGACAGAACCAGCGTTCTGATTTATAACGTTCAGTTATTAATAGAAAAATATGCAGGAAGAGGGCCACCTGCATCATGAAGGACCCCACTCACCCAGCACACACTTTTTGCCCCGCTCCCCTCAGGGAGGAGGTTGAGGAGCATTAAGTGTAGAACCACTAGACTGAGGAACAGCTTCTACCCTGAGGCTGTTAGACTCATGAATCCTTAACCAGAAAAAAAACAATATAATGCCACTTTAATTTGTGCTGCTGATCTCATACTGCTGATTATTTAATGCTGCTGTATTCATTGGTACCCATCTGCTCACACAGACTCATGTTTGTGCTGCTGTTGTTACGCCGTATTGTTTTGCACGATTAGTGCTTAGCGTATTTCTTAGTTCATATCTTAGATCCTACACAATTTCGTTCCACCTCATGTACCACATGTGTTGCGAATGATAATAAAACCTACTTGAACTTGAAGTTAATAGTAATATTTGTACTTCAGAATCAAAGCAGATGGATTATCGGACACAGCGTCATGATGACTCGTCAGTTTTGTGTTTTAAAACAGAATATTCTGGACGTTTGGATTTCTGTGATGCTGACCCGGCGGAGCAGAGAGCAGAACTCACTCATGCTGTTTCCGGATCTCCTCGATATCTGCGTTCTCCGTGTTGCTGCTGACCTTGCGAACCTTCTCCAACTCCTTCTCCAGCTCTGTGCGGTGGGCGTTCTTCATGGCTTCAATAGCTGAGCAGAGACAAAACGTTGAATTAACGTCTTCACACCTGCTTCATGGACTAACATTAGGCAGGTGGTGCACCTGCGATGGTGGCGGCCGTTTCCTCTTCCAGCAGCCGCTCCTTCTCCTCCTGCAGGTTCTCCAGCTCCCTCTGGTGTTTTCTCTGCAGCTCTTCGATCACCTTCTGGTGGGACTCCTCCATGGCGGCGAAGCCCCGCTCACAGGTGGCCTAAAGAAGAACAAGCAGCTGTGAGTTTACGCCTCGTCAGCAAATTCTCCTGCTCAGCTAAGACAAAGAAGAAGTCATCGAGCCCAGGCTAAGCCAACAAGGATCATTTTAGACGAGTTAAACTATTTAAGGGTGCTAATGCTGCTAAAACTCCAACAAGTATCAACTTTCATTGACAATAATTTGGGACTTATACTTTGTCATTATCACAGCTGACAAGATGTGCATGTTTTTATGAATGAACAGCTTAAGAAGAGTGAAACTAATGGAAATAAGATGATGTTGCTACGGTCATGTGGCACCTTTAAGATGAACAATTTGTGTTAAAATGTTTAAAAACCATGAAGTGGACGTGTGACTGTAAAATCTGTAAGATGTCAAAATGGCCGTTCAGTCTGATCTGTTTAAACTTTGAATGATGCCGTCAGGTCTGCTGATGTCTCACACTGTTTTTATGATCTAAGAGGAAATTTGTTGCACTATCCATTTTTGTTATACGATGTAGAGCTGCTGAAACACTTCCTGATGGACTCAGGTGTTGGATGTGCAGATTTTTATTTGTTTCTATGGGATTTCCACAGCAGGAGTAGATAATCAAAAGTTGTGAGAAAACCCGTAGAACGAGCAAACATTAATATAATTCTAATAGAACACTAATAAAATAGTATATAACGGTAATAAGGATGGTTAAATCTGATGAATCTATGCTGGCAGGCAACAGCTGCCACTTCCTCTTCACATCCAAAGTGACAGGAAATAAAGTGATTCTGCAGCTCGTTTGCAAACCATTGTCCATCTTTTAGTGAAGTCTTTTTATGAGATATCAGCTTACAGTTATGAGCTTCATGAAAAAAGTGAGCATGTGGGACACCCAGTCAGAGAGAGAGGTCAAACCATCATCTCAGTATGAAAAGTTAAAACAGCGTTTGTTTTCTGTATCAGCCTCTCTGAACAGTCTCACTCCCTGCCTGTCTTCACTGCAGCTGACCGGACCGCTCCCTCAGAGGCTGTGTTCTGGCCTGCGCACAGAGGAAATGGAGGTCCGGTGTGTTTTAACAGGAATAACATTCTCTTTTTACAGGGTGAGGCCCCCCTCCCCCACCAACAGGGAATAAGTGTAAACTTCCTGCTCTGACGTCAGCCTGAGGAGCTTTGACAAATGAAATTTGAAACGAATACTTATTTTTCTTTCTCAGCTGTATTCTGTTCCAACAAAATGCATCGTTTGCGTCCTTCACATTTGATCTGAATATGGATACAAACTCTCTGCTCTACCAACAAGTTCCAACATTTACACTTAAAGAAAGTTACGACTAGCTCCAGACATATGGAATAATGTGCCTCTTCATGTTTGAACGACTGACACTGTCGAGTCTTAAACCTCGGCTTCAGGCTCTTTGTTTCTGGAGTTTGGACTCGAGCACGATGTGATGCGTTTCTGCACTTTATTTCACTTCATGTTCTACACTCATGCATTTTAAAGTTTGTTGTAAAACACTTTAGTCCATTTCTGTTGTTTTAATTATTGTATTGTCGTTTATGACCTTTCATGTTCCTTACAGGGAAAATTGACCACCTTATCTACCTGCTTAAAATATGATTTTTAAGAATTTCTTCCACAATAACGAGTCTTTCTTTTAGAACTACTGTAGTCCCTCGCTACTTCGTTTTTGCGGACTCGCTCTATTGCGGTTTTTCAAAGTAAGGTTGGACATGACACACAATTGGCTGATTGATGGATGAGCCGCATGATCGGCAAGGAATTTTTATTTAAAATAAAACATTTTAAATTATTTAGCACCTGCTGCACCTGTGTGCAGCCCACAGCTGCAGGAGAAGCTTCCTCCTGCAGCATGTCAGAATCTCCACTCTGCAGCGGAGAAGTGGGCGTGGCAGGAAGATTAAATCATGACATTCTGTGCTCTTTTAAATCGTTAAGAATTTAGAAACATTTAGAATATTGCAAGAGTGTGGGAAGGATTTAAAATGCCTCATGTATGTGTGTGTGTGTGTGTGTATATATAACTAAATAAAATAAACTACTACTTTTTACTTGTACTACAATTCCTACTTCACAGTTTTTCCACTTTTGGGGCTTCAGGGTGCGGATCCCCTGTAATAAACGAGGTACTACTAAATGTCAGCCTGAAATAAAATATGATTTAAATGAATTTTTACATTAACCCTTTAAGGGCCTTTGTGAAAAAAACAATCTTGACATTTCTTTTTTATTAATTTTGTTCGGACAAAATATTTATTTTATGAGGGGGAAAAAGCTATGTTTGTTTGTGAGAGCTGGTGCAAAGAGAATAACCTTCACATCAATGTGAAGAAGATGAAGGAGATGGTTGTGCACTTCAGAAGGAACAAACACACCTACACCCCCCTGAACATAAGAGGATCTGTGGTGGAAGTGGTCTCCAGCTACAAGTACTTGGGTGTACACCTGAATAACAACCTCAGCTGGAGCAACAACACCACCAGCCTGATCAAGAAAGCTCACCAGAGACTCTACTTCCTCAGACGGCTGAGGCGAGCTGGTCTGGGAAGCTCAGTCCTCACCTCCTTCTACAGGTGTGCAGTGGAGAGCATCCTGTGCTCCAGCATCAACGTGTGGCATGGAGGCTGCACAGCTGCAGAAAGAAAAGCTTTGCAGAGAGTGGTGAAGGCTGCACAGAAATCTGTTGGAATCAGCCTCCCCACCATCACAGACATCTACACCTCCAGATGCAGGAAGAGAGCCACCTGCATCATGAAGGACCCCACTCACCCAGCACACACTTTTTGCCCTGCTCCCCTCAGGAAGGAGGTTGAGGAGCATTAAGTGTAGAACCACTAGACTGAGGAACAGCTTCTACCCTGAGGCTGTTAGACTCATGAATCCCTAACCAGAACAATCACTGTGAAAAATCACATCATGTTGCTGCTGATCTGTTTCATGTTGTGCTGATCTGTTTCATGTTGTGCTGATCTGTTTCATGTTGTGCTGATCTGTTTCATGTTGCTGTTGATCTGTTTCACGTTGCTGTTGATCTGTTTCACGTTGCTGCTGATCTGTTTCATGTTGCAGTGTGCATTCGTGCTCATCTGCTCACACAGACTCATGTTTGTGCTGCTGTTCAGCATATTGTTTTTGTGCTTAGTGTATTTTTAATTAATGTTTTTCTTAGTTCATACCTTAGATGTTATGACTGTTTCTCTTTTATATTTTATTGTTGGACAAATAAAAAACTGACTCTCTGATAACTCCATTGTATGATTTGCTTTTCACTTTAACTGACCCGGATATATAAACGAGCTGTGGGAGCTCGGTGCACCCTCTAATGACGTCATTAACCAACGACAGTCATGTTGAATGTGAAACAGCTTTTTCAGACTAAATGTTTACTTGTGAACATTACAAGTGTTAACATCCAAAACAATTGTTGGACGAGACGAGAGGTGGGACTCTGCAGCAACAGCCAATAGAAGGTACTGCTTCTAGGCTGAGTTGAAGTCCATCTCATTAAATATTTAAAGAGGCTCTCAAATATAAAAGCCAAGAAGCACCTCAGTGAGCAAATATAAAAATTGAAAGTATAGAGTTAAAAGGAAAAAAAAACAGTACTGAGAGGAATGAATTTTTGAATGATATTAAAAATATGAGCAAAATGGTGACTCAGCTGGTAGAGCTGCCTTCTCTTAACGAGAAGGTCGCCGGACTGAATCCCGGCCGGGAGTCTTTCTGGGTGGAGTTTGCATGTTCCCTCTGTGCTGCGTGGATTTTCTCCGGGTACTCCAGTTTTTGCCCACAGACCAAAAACATGCATGTTAAACTGATTGAGAACTCTAAATTGTCTCTAGGTGAGAGTGAGAGTGAATGGTTGTTTGTCTCTTTGTGTCCCCGTGATGGACTGGAGACCTGTCCAGGTGTCCCTGTGTGGGCTCACGAGCAGGCAGGCGGGCCGACAGACAGATTTGATGTGCGGGTGGATGCATGGATGGATTGATGATGGATGAATGAATGGATGATGGATGAACGGGTGGATGGATGGGTAGATGTATGAATGGATTGGTGATGGATGGATGGCTGGATGGATGATTTGATGGATGAATGAGTGGATTATGGACAGGTGGATGCATGGATAGATGGATGGATTGATGATGGATGCATGGATGGGTGGATACATGGATGGATGGATGGATGATTTGATGGATGATGGATGAAAAAATGAATGATGGATGGATGGGTGGATGGATGGATGATTTGATGGATGAATGAATGGATGATGGATAGGTGGATTCGTGGATGGATGAATGCATGATAGAGGGATGGAAGGGTGGAATATTGGATGGATGGACAGGTGGATGGATGATGGATGGATGGTGCGTGGTAAATGAGATTAAAATATGTTTATCAGTATTTTAATGTGGCTGATTTTCCCCCAAAGGAACACGAGTTTATTAAACTTACTGTGAGGTTATGAGAGCAGTTAAAAAAAGATTCTGACAAAATAAAAATAAGTTTTTTAATTTTGTCAGAAAAAAAATTGTGTTTATTGGCTGCACCTAAAATAAATAAATGTACGAGTGGCGTGGACAAAAATAAATTTGTGTCTGATTTTTCCTCAACAGCTGGTAAAGAATGTGCTTATGTGCTCTAGAAATAAAACTCAAGTCTGTTACGGTTTCTAAACTTCTTAAAACATTTAAAGCAACTAATGTTTATTATTAACAAAAAAGGTTGAATCATGTCATCTGGACTTCGTTTTTTTTTTTTTTTTTGTCCAGATGACATGATTCAACCTTTTTTGTTGTTATATACCTGGATGACTGAGAAAACAAACTAATGTTTATTATTGTTTAAGACACAAGTCCTAAAGAGATTTAGGGCTGAGAATAGGAACAGGAATGAATATGGAAGAAAGGTAAAGTGCTGCTTAAAAGTTTGTGAACTCTTTATATTTTGCTATATTTCTGCATCAGTCTGACCTAAAGCATCCTCAGATTTTCACACAAGTCCTAAAAGTAGATAAAGAGAACCCAGTTAAACAAATGAGACTAAAATATTAAACTTGGTCATTTATTTATTGAGGAAATTGATCCAATATTACATATTTGTGATGGTAAAAGTATGTGAACCTCTAGGATTATCAGTTAATTTGAAGGTAAAATTAGAGTCAGGTGTTTTCAATCCATGGGATGATGATCAGGTGTGAGTGGACACCCTGTTTGATTTAAAGAACAGGATCTATCAAAGTCTGATCTTCTCAACATGTTTGTGGAAGTGGATCATGGCAGGAACAAAGGAGATTTCTGAGGAGCTCACAAAAAGAGTTGTTGATGCTCATCAGGCTGGAAAATGTTACAAACCATCTCTGAAGAGTTTGGACTCCACCGATCCACAGTCAACCAGAATTCAAGACCATTGTTCCCTCCCCAGGAGTGGTGGACCAACAAACATCACGTCAAGAACAAGGTGTGTATTAGTCTGTGAGGTCACAAAGGACCCCAGGGTAACTTCTAACAACTGAAGGTCTCTCTCACATTAATGTTGATGTTCATGAGTCCACCATCAGGAGAACACTGAACAACAATGGTTCATGGCAGGGTTGAAGGAGAAACCACTGGTCTCCTAAAAGAACATGGCTGCTCATCTGCAGTTTGATAAAGATCACGTGGACACAACAGAAGACTGTTGGAAGAATGTTTTGTGGACGGATGAGAACGTTTTGGTTTAAATGAAAAGTGTTCTGTTTGGAGAAAGTAAAACTGCATTCCTGCATAAGAACCTGATCCCATCTGTGAAACATGGTGGTGGTAGTATCATGGTTTGGGACTGTTTTGCTGCATCTGGGCCAGGACGACTTGCCATCAATGATGGAACAATGAATTCTGAATTATATCAGAGAATTCTAAAGGAAAATGTCAGAACATCTGTCCGTGAACTGAATCTTAAGAGAAGGTGAGTCATGCAGCGACACAATGACCCTCAACACACAAGATGTTCTACCAAAGCTTGGTTCAAGAAGAATAAAGTTCATGTTTAGAATGGTCAAGTCAAACTCCTGATCTTAATCCAATCCAGATGTTATGGAAGGACCTGAAGCAGCAGTTAATGTGAGGAAACCACCAACATCCAGAGTTGAAGTTGTTCTGTACAGAGGAATGGACTAAAATTCCTCCAAGTCAAGCAGAACTGATCAGAAGTTACCAGAAAGGTTTAGTTGCAGTTATTACTGCACAGGGAGGTCACACCAGATACTGAACACATACTTTTACCATCACAAATATGTAATATTGTATCATTTTTCTCAATAAATACAAACCGGATTCCAAAAAAGTTGGGACACTAAACAAATTTTGAATAAAAACTGAATGCAATGATGCAGAGGTGCCAACATCTAATATTTTATTCAGAATAGAACACAAATCACAGATCAAAAGTTTAAACTGAGAGAATGTATCATTTTAAGGGAAAAATCTGTTGTTTTCAAATTTCATGGTGTCAACAAATCCCAAAAAAGTTGGGACAAGTCCATTTATACCACTGTGTGGCATCCCCCCTTCTTCTTACAACACTCAACAGATGTCTGGGGACAGAGGAGACCAGTTTCTCAAGTTTAGAAATAGGAATGCTCTCCCATTCATGTCTAATACAGGCCTCTAACTGTTCGATCGTCTTGGGCCTTCTTTGTCGCACCTTCCTCTTTATGATGCGCCAAATATTCTCTATAGGTGAAAGATCTGGACTGCAGGCTGGCCATTTCAGTACCCGGATCCTTCTCCTACGTAGCCATGATGTTGTGATTGCTGCAGAATGTGGTCTGGCATTATCGTGTTGAAAAATGCAGGGTCTTCCCTGAAGGAGATAACGTCTAGATGGGAGCATATGTTGTTCTAGAACCTGAACATAGTTCTCTGCATTAATGGTGCCTTTCCAGACATGCAAGCTGCCCATGCCACAAGCGCTCATGCAACCCCATACCATCAGTGATGTAGGCTTCTGAACGGAGCGTTGATAACAACTTGGGCTATCCTTGTCCTCTCTGGTCCGGATGACATGGCGTCCCAGTGTTCCATAAAGAACTTCAAATTGTGACTCATCTGACCACAGAACTGTCTTCCATTTTGCCACACTCCATTTTAAATGACCCCTGGCCCAGTGCAAACGTCTGAGCTTGTGGAGCTTGCTTAGAAATGGCTTCCTCTTTGCACTGTAGAGTTTCAGCTGGCAACGGCGGATGGCACGGTGGATTGTGTTCACTGACAATGCTTTCTGGAAGTATTCCTGAGCCCATTCTGTTATTTCCTTGACAGTGGCATTCCTGTTTGAGGTGCAGTGACGTTTAAGGGCCCAGAGATCACGAGCATCCAGTAGAGTTTTACGGCCTTGACCCTTACGCACAGCGATTGTTCCAGATTCTCTGAATCTTTTGATGATGTTATGCACGGTTGATGATGATAACTTAAAAGTCTTTGCTATTTTACGCTGGGTAACACCATTCTGGTATTGCTGCACTATCTTTCTGCGCAACAATGGTGGAATTGGTGATCCTCTTACAATCTTGGCTTCTGAGAGACACTGACACTCTGAGAAGCTCTTTTTATACCCAATCATGTTTCAATTGACCTAATTAGTGTTAATTGGTCTTCCAGCTGTTCGTTATATGATCAATTTCCTTTTTCCAGCCACTTATTGCTACTTGTCCCGACTTTTTTGGGATTTGTTGACACTGTGAAATTTTGAATCAACATATTTTTCCTTTAAAATGTTACATTTGCTCAGATTAAACTTTTGATCTGTCATCTATGTTATATTACTAATAAAATATTGACATTTGCCATCTCCACATCATTGCATTCAGTTTTTATTCACAATTTGTTTAGTGTCCCAACTTTTTTGGAATCCGATTTGTAAATGACCAAGTATAATATTTTTGTCTCATTTCTTTAACTGGGTTCTCTTCGTCTACTTTTAGGACTTGTGTGAAAATCTGATGATGTTTTAGGTCAGACTGATGCAGAAATATGGAAAATTATAAAGAGTTCACAAACTTTCAAGCAGCACTGTTTTCAAGCACCACTGTATGCAGGCACTTTAATCAAATTTGTTAAGATAAAAAAATTAAAATAGATAAAACTCCACAAAAACAATTTCAAACCTACTAACCAGGTCAGTTACTTTAAAACACTTTCCCATGTACCACTTTGCGTCCAGCCATAAGAGGACTTCAATTTAAATTTCTTTTCAAGAGTTGAGACAGAGTGATTAAAATACTTGTTTGTATCAAAAACAGCCTGCTGTAAAAACATTTTGTCAAAAACCTTCAAAGGGTACGTGAGAAAAAGTATAAATAAACAAGACAAAGTGACCAGTTCTTTGACAAAATCAATAATTCAGCTTGATAGCCATTTCAGCAAACCAGCCCAGTGGCTCAGTTGTCTGCATCGTCCACTGGATCAAAATTAACCTCAGTTTATTTCAGCTTATCTTATATCAAGCCGATTCACAACAAAGGTAATAATTATTATGACTAGGGGTGCACCGATAAATCTTTGGGCCGATTTATCGCTCGGCCGATTTATCAGCCCAGATTTCCTTAATTTTGGGAGATAGGCCAGCCCAGTATTTGCATGAGAAACTGATTTTACCAATTTTTTTGTAGTTTTAGCAATTGTCTGAACTTCATTTATATTTCAGAGCACTACGTCATGGCCACAAGTTTGTATTGTTTCTAGGATATTGTTCAAGGGTATGTTTTTCAGTAAAATCATATTGGAAAATTAAAAGTGCATTGTGACCTTACACCTGACAGTGCCGTTTATAAAACAAAATCAGTATCGGCCAAAATCGGAATCGGCAGATGAGGCTTTATAGAGATCGGTTATCGGCCAGAAAACTGCAATCAGTGCACCCCTAATTATGACGAGTTAATTTTCTGTGGACAGCTCTAAAATACAGCTACAGGATTTTAGAAAACTCCAGGAAGTGTCTTTGTCAAAGAACTGAAACTTTCTCCATCGTTTAGTGAGAGCGGGGCGTTAAGTTACAATGTTAGTAAGGAAAAGCCAAGGGAACAGACATTTTAACACGGAGTCCGAACAAGTTAAACAGTTCACACTTTACTGAGTGTTCAACACGAAACAATCAGTTTTCATTGTTTCGTTCTGACCTTTCACATGCAGGTATGTTTGAATAACTGGAACTTGTTATAAAGATGACTAGACGTCATCATGAAGCCTAGAAGAAGCTGGAGGCTTCTCTTACATTTAAATAAATTATTATTAATATTATTAATACGTTGCACCAAGTTCTACATGTGAAGGCGATGAATGTCAAACACTACTAAAGTTGAATTAATGGTCACTAAAGCCTATAGGTGGTTAGTTTCCATGCGACACAGAGGTAAAGTGGTTTACGAAACCAAGAACAAGGGGGATTGGATTAGGAGTAAAAGTTAGACTGGGGAAATGGGGGGTCTGGGAATGTCAAAGGAAAACAAGGCATCACAGATGGTAGGACGGCAAGGACAAGGAGTGCTTCCACCTTAAGGTTTTCCAGGTCTCTCTCGCATTTCAGCCGCAGGGTGTTCATGTCCCCCTGCTGCTCCCGTCGCCTCGTCTCTTCGGTCAGGACTGACACTTGGACCATCAGCTCCTGAATGCGCTCCCTGAGGGTCGACGTTTGGGCTGAGGGATGATCCGACGTCTCACTTGTTCCGTTCCTCTCGGTGTTAGCTGGACTCATCATGCTCCTCAGCTCCTCCATCTCCTGATCAAACCTCTCGACAAGGCTTCTTTTTTCATTCTCGTGCTTTGTTTTTAGGATCTCCAGGCAATTTGTCAGTGAGTCGATCTCTTTCATATTTTCGTCTGACTGAAACTTAAGTGTCTCGTTGGCTTTTGTGATTTCCAGCCTCAACTTTATGACTTCCTGCTCGTAGCAGTCTTTGACGTCGTGCAACTCCTTCCTGTGCCTGATCACCATGTCATGAAGTTCAGTGGTTGCACCCACTGAGTCTACTGACTCTCCTTCGATCTGAATCAAAGTTTGGAGCTCTGCAGACGTTTTCAAAGAAGCCCCGGATAGCTGGCTCTGTAGATCTTCCCGTTCTGACTGAAGCTCACTCGCAACTTCTTTCAAGTCAGAGCAATTTGGAGAATTTGTGCTCCCCATCTGTTCTTGTGGCTGATTCTGCTTCAGCTCTTTCTCATGCTGGACTTTCAGCCTAATGAGCTCATATAGCCTGCATGCTTCCTTGAGACAATCAAGAAGATATTCTGATGGCTGTTTCTGCTCTCGCCCAGGACCAAAGCTTGCTTGAGCCAAAGACAGGAGTGTATCATTTTTGCTCGTTTTCAGACTGTTAGCAATCTGCTTCAGATCGTGAGACTTTGCCTTCAATGATTCTGTTAAGCGCTGAAGAATCAAAGCGTTCGTTTCATCATCGAGCCAGCTGTACATCGCTGCAAAACGGACCACCGTCTCACTCTCCGCGTCACCCTGCGAACAAACCATCTTATTCAAGAGAATCAGGCTCCTCTGTGACGCTATAAGCTCCACCAAACCCAGTTCCCTGATCTGTCGGCTTTCATCAGATTTTAATTGAGTAATGCTCAACAGCTGGTTCCAGAACTCCCACTCCAACACTGATCTCATCTCTTTCTCTCTCACGCAAACAAGCTCTTCTTTTGAAGAGCCAAAGAAAGTGGTTTTCAAATTACCAAGCATTCTGTCTACACTGACGTCTATCTTTACTAATACCTCTACGACTCTATCCAATGCCTCAGACCTCATCTCAAACTCATCTACCACGTGCTTAAAATCTCCATCATCTCCTTGCTTCTCTTCTACGTCTTTACTCTCACTACCACGACCAATATCCCATACTAGCTTCTCTTGTAGTCTCTTTACTTCATTTTCTACCTCTGCCAGCTTCTCTCTGCCAACTTTCTCGATTTCCTGATTTAAGGTGAGTAGTTCGTCGTTTCTAGCCTCCAGCTCCACACAGCGTTGCTCTGCAGACTTAACTCTTGCATCACTTTCAGAAATCTTAGCTTTTGAGGCTTCAAGCAGCTCTCTGAGGTGTTCCTTCTCCAGCTGCAACTCCTCGTCCTCGTAATCTCCCTGGAAGCCCAGACCTCTGAGCGTGGCCTCTTTCAGCTGCAGCTTTTTCTCAGTGTCTTTAAGGGTGTTGCCAAGTTCCTCCAAAGTAACTAAGGCTTCATGGAGCCTTAAAGACTTCTCATTTAGTTCCCTCTCATAATACTCCCGGTCTATGGCATTAGCTTGATTTTCAGCCACTTCAGCCTTTAGTCTTTTCAGCTCCTCCACAACGAGATGATGCTGTTTGCCGCCATGTTGGCTGACGAGTTCGGCTTTAAGTCGGTCAATTTCTCTGTCGGCCTCAGTCAGCTGATTCACTATCTCCTGACATCGCTGTTTCAGTGCGCCGTTTTCACCTGTTAGAAGCTTGACCTTCTGAGAGAGCAATCCAACAGTGGCGTCATTTGACTCTGAATGCGTTTCAATTGTGGACAGGGGACCGTAAGGGCTGGTCAGGCTTTCCAAACTTTGCTTCTGAACTTTCCCCATCATATCCTCCATGGTCAGAAGACGGGCTTCATATTCCCGTATGCTCTCTCCCGCTCTGGCTAGGCTCTTTTTCAGTGTTTCATTTTCCATCTCCTGCTGGCACTTCCAGGTTTCCAGAAGCTGCTGAAGTTCATGTTTTCCTGTGGGATTCTGATTACAGCTATGTAGTTTCAACACTTTGCTGAGCTCAATCAGAGTCAGAGGTTCATCGGTTATCAGATCTAGCTCTTGGATTGCCTCTGAGCTGTCCTGAAGCAAGAAGGTAACGGTTTTTTGGACTAATTCAGGAGAGGGGCCGTCTAGCGTGGCTGTTTTTTGGGGTTCAGAAATGTTAGGCTCCTTGATGGGAAGGTGAGAAAGTGAGAGGCCAAGCTGTGCCTGCATATTGCGTTTTTTCAGCTCTTGCAGCTTCAGGAGCTCTTTGGTCTCCTGGTATTTCTTTGTTAAACTCTGTGCTTGAGAACTAACCGGTTCGGACCTCTTCATCTGGGGCGTCACATCAGCCTCCAGACCCAAAGGATGCTCCAGCTTGGAAAAGGGGACCAGACAGTTGGTTAACATACAGCAGGGGAGACACAAAGCCTGATCATAATTTTATAAGCTTTATCTACTGTTGCTGTCATTTTCTATTAAACACTATCATTTCAACAACATAAAACATCAGAAAATCAAAAAAGTCAAAATGTCTACCAACTAATAACTGGGTGAAGAAAAAAGAAATGAAATGTCCAGGGTTAGTTAATCACAGACAAGCATGCACATTAAACAGTTAATTGTTATTTCATGTGTTAAGCAATATTAGTTTCAGTTAATTCAAAGATTAAAAGCACATCAGGTCCTAAAAACATCCATTTTAAAAGTTTTTAATCTATAAAACACTTTGTATGTGTGAAATTGTCTTTATAAAGAACACGGGACATTTTGGTGCCCAATGAATAATGGAATTATTCAAGTAACTTTTTACTTAATCCAAAATAATGCCAAGTTAAAGAAATGGTTCATCTTCGAGATGGAGGCAACAAAAACTAGATAAACCCAAGAATAAAATAAAACTGCAGCAGTTGCCTAACTTTTAAATCTTCTCTGTATCAGGAGTTAAGCATCTTTTCTCTGGTAGAGCCGTCTGAGCATGAACTCAAACACAGAATACGTCCATGATACAAGAAGTGTACACAACTGTTAAAACAACAACAAATGGATGAAATACACAAAAACTATTCAAAAATCAGTTTGATGAGCATGCAGATCATTAGAAAACAAGCAGAGGTTATGTTTTCTCATTACAATTCAACAGGTATTTACTTCAGTGATTATAAATGGTAATATTATTAATATGACTTGATGAGAAAAAGAACAAATATTTTAAAGCGCTTCCCTTAATATTAAATGGTAAAATGTAAATATTTAAAGTGACATGGTCAAACTATGAGAGAAGATTCAAATGTTTAGGCCTGACATGTTTTTATCAGCTGTTCAGACCGGATTGTCAGATAAAATGTTCACGTTTGTCTTTTCTTTGTACACTCTCATTTTCTATCAGTAGATTTAAAGAAAGGCAAGAACAAACAGAAAAAACTTAAACATTTTATTCTGCGTAATATTAGTTTAGTCTTATGTTTTCCTACTTGTAGCATGACATTTGTGTTTTCTTGTCTTTACTACAAGGTGTGGGTGGGCTCAGATTAATTTTCTCCTCAGCTGAGCGCCTAAAGAGCTAATGATAATGGGCTGCTACTAAATGATCAGCTGGAACACTACTGAGTAGAGATGCACCGAGCCGATCATCAGTATTGGCATAGATTTAAAAAATAAATCCTTGATTGGTTATTGGTGACAATGTGACTGATCCATAAGGACAGAAGCTGATTGCTGTTTATTTTAAATATCTGCCAACCAAGCTAGTGAAGCTGTTGTTTCTTTATTTCAGCTTCTTTATTATTTATTTTACATTATATTTAGAATTCCTGAACCATTTGAAATGTTTGTTGAAGTTTATTTTTTCATGTTTGACCAAAGTTGTCAACCTATTGTTTTCGTCAGTTTCAGTATCGGATCGGAAGTGAAAAAAGTGGATTGGTGCATCCCTTACTCTTGAGGCTGAACCATCCAGAGCAGCTCTGAAAACCTGCAAACACTGAGATGTTTCCATGTTTATGGGTTTTTAAATAAAGTCTGGTTTGCAAATGGTTGAGCAAAGATTAAAGATGAGCTCCTCTGGGGTCATAAATCTTAAAGATCCAAGGAAGTGTTCATCAAACAACAACGTGCCTAAATACTTGGATCTAAGCTCTCGGGAACAGTTTGTGTGTCGTACAGCCAGTGCTACATTTAGAGGATCCTGTCTGCAGTGAAAGGTCATCTGTAGAAGAGCTGCTCCATGCAAAGAAAAATAAAAACCTAAGCAGGTCACGTTAGCAACGAGAACTACAGTTCTAGAGTCCACAATCACTTCTGTAATAAGCAGCACGAGTTCAGATAGGTTCAACATTTAGCCCAAAGGAAGGAGATTATCCTCTAGAAGAAGCCGATGTAGCAACAGGACTTCAGTTTCTCACATGCAATGAACTCATGCAGAGGCACCTGCAGACTCTTGTTCAATGTCAGTTTGTTTCATTAACACGACATGCAAAGAAGGTTACAAAATGAAATGAAATTAGTCAACAGCTAAGAATGAGCTCCCACTTGGATTTACTGAAGGTGTAACACAACTCCCTGCCTGCAGCGGAACAACTGTGGTGTGACGACTCACCGGGGAGATGTAGCCGGTCCGGACGTCCTGCTCCCGCTCCAGAGCCGTCCTGAGCTGCAGCTCCAGCTCCTGCTTGTGCTTGTTCGAGTCCAGCAGCTGCTGGTGGCAGCTCGCTAACTGACACTTCAGCTCCTCCATCTGTGGAGCAGCAGAAGCTGCATTTATTCTCATCATATCACAAACAACGACACGACAGAGCCTGGAGGTACATAAAGTTAAACAAGAAGACAAATTCACACAAAAAGCAGCCCGTTGTATTCAGCATCCTGCAGATTTGAGAACTTCTCATGTTGCCAACGCCAGCTGCATAATGCACATTTTCTTTCCTTCCAAGAAGAAAACGAGGAGGTGACATGTTGGAAAAATCATTGTGTTGGAGCGTTGTCAGAACAGTAAGAGAACCCAGCAAGTGCCAGGTGCAGAAATAAAAAGCAGAGGGCAAAGAAATCCATTCCCTCAGCTCAGTAAAACGTTTTCATGATCGACCAACAACACATCGTTACTCAGGTTTAGGAAAAGTTGGACACATTTTTACAGCCAGGCTCTGTAATATTCAACAGAGGAGTCATAAACATCACCTCTCTAACTGCAGAGAAGTTGACAAGACTAGAAGAAAACTTTAAAATGAGACACACTCTTGGATTAGACTGTGAGACAAGTGCTTTAAGTGAAAAAATAAAAATATACAGTTATTCAAACATTTGAATAGCTGCAGACTCCAGAGCTGTAACTCCTTAAAATGTTTTTAACGACAGTCCTCCTTAAAACACACTTCAACTCCTTCCAGAATCGATAGACTTTATTATATAAAAACTGCTAAACTGTGAGAATTAACCTTTTTATTTTTAGTTCGAAGAATGGATTCATAAAATATTCCTGTAAGCTTCAGCTGTTGCTTTTGATCCTTCATGTCTGAGAAGCAGTTCTGTTCTCAGCTGCACGTGTTGCTTTCCACGTGTTTTAGATCAACATCCATCTTCTCTACACGCTTGTCCACTGTCTCAGGGAGCTGGTGTCCATGTCCAGCAGCCACTGTACAAGAGGCGGGGGACACCCGGACAGGTCTCCAGTCCATCACAGGGACACAGAGACAAACCAGACAAACAACCATTCACTCTCTCACTCTCACCTAGAGACAATTTCAATTCAATTCAGTTCAATTCAATTCAAAAATACTTTATTAATCCCAAAGGGAAATTATTTGTTGTTATAACTCGTTATCCTCGCTTCATTAAGAGATGTTATAGATACTGATGGCTGTAGGCAGGAAGGATCTCTTGTAAAGGTCCATCCCACAGTGGATTCTAAGAAACTGGCTGCAGATGCCGTCCGATACGTCCACACAGACTCGGCTGGCCTCTCGGTTCCCCCGGTCTGTAGGACCGCCCGAATGCTGGGCTGAACTCCCAGAGCGATGGCCACTCCTCCCAGCAGTCTGCCGAGCTCCTCGTTGCTGCGGACAGACAACTGTAGGTGCCGAGGGGCGATCCTGTCCTTCCACTGTCATGAGCCGTGTTTCCTTCTAGTTCCAGGATCTCAGTGATCAGGCACTTGAGCGCAGCTGGCAGGTAGATGAGAATGCGTCCACAGAACATCCTTTCAACTCATTTGAGATTTGGGGCTGTCGTTGAGATATTATTTGAGCATAATTTAGAGTTACCAATCAGTCTAACATGCATGTTTTTTTGTCTGTGGGAGGAAACTGGAGTACCCGGAGAAAACCCACGCAGCTCAAAGAGAACATGCAAACTCCACCCTGAAAGGCCCGGCTCCAGGCTGGAAGACGATCCTGTGACTATCTGGCAACACGTCTAGCCGCTGCTCTGCCATGTACTGCATTTTCTGGCCTATAAGTCGCAGTTTTTTGCATAATTCGCATGCCCTGCGACTCATACACCAAAGCGACTTATTTATGGATTTTCCCCATATTTGTAAACCAAATCTTGGCTGAGATATAACCCTTTTCATTCATTCTGACATTGAAAATATTGAACACTACCATTTTCAGTCGCTAGATGGCACTCAAGTAGTATGGCATGCCGTTGTGTCATGTAATAGGTAAAAGTGGCTATTAATGACACAATCTGCTTGCCACAGCCTCCCACCGTCGTCCAGCTCACCTGGAACAACCGTCAAATCAGCTTAATTTCACTGCGCTGCCGCAGAGAAATGAAGCTGATTTGACCATTAAAGTGTATTTATTAAACAAAAGTTAGACTGAGACACACATTTACTATAATGTCGAGCAAACAAATAATTGTTTTTAGGTGGTTATCTTGTTGAATTTCGAAGAAATGGACAGTGAGTTCTCCCTCTGCATGCTCCCACTTCCACAAATCGGTTTTTGAAATGCAGCTGGTTTGACCGTCAAAGTGCATTTATTAAACAAAAGTTAGACTGAGACACACATTTACTATAATGTCGAGCAAACAAATAATTGTTTTTAGGTGTTTGTCTCGTTAAATTCTTGTTAAAGTCCTCCTGAGCACGCTCCTGCAATTTGGCAGCCAATTGATTTTTTGGCACAACACCGGCCCACATTTCCTGGTGGTCAGCGGTGACGCATAATAGACGCACCTTATACGGTGAAGCGATGTATTTATGTTTTTTTCCCACGTTATTAGACATTTTTGGACTGATGCGACTTATACGGTGGAAAATACGGTATGTCAACAAGCAAAGATTTAGCAGACAAACATACCCCCTGCTTGTAACTCTCCAGAAGCTGCTCCAGCTCTACGGTTTCCTTGGACTGCTCTGTAGCGGGAAGAGGCACCCTCCTCTCCTCCCTGATGGGGGTGTTCTCCACCTGTCGCCAGTGTTCTTCAATCACCTCCTCCATCCTCTGCTGCCTGTCCATGGAGGTGGGACTAACGGAGTCGGTTTGTACAGTTCCACCTCCTCCCTCCACGTCCGTCCTCCCTCTGTACGGAGCAGACGCATGCTTGGAGCTGCTCACACACTCGTACATCTTCCTCCTCTCCTCTCTCCTCCGACTGCAGTCCAGCTCATCCCTGCCCGTCTGCAGGCTCTCGGCCTCCTGCGCTCGCTGCTGAGCCAGAGCCTGCGCGATGGGCCTGAACTCTGCCCAGTCAAAGGTCTTCGAGCGGCCTTCTCGCCGGCGTTCCCGCGCTCTGCTTCTTATCACACCTGGAGCAGATTCTCTCCCCACGGACGAGACCTCAGAGGAGAGAGAGTCCTGAGTGATGTCAGGTCTAACGAGACCCTCCAAAGGGGAGAAGTAATCCTCAGTGGAGCTGAAAGGAAGCAAAACACAAAATAAATGACAAATATTAACCAAACACCCACTGACAGCTTGACACCTGGCTACAATTTTCATTCATACACTACCATCAAACACTTGTGTGTTTTACCAGACCTGTCGCTGTTGACCTCAAAGGTTTTAGGTATAGAGGCTAATTCAGAAATTCAAGTGATACAAGTTTATCCCTCACGTCATATCCCAAAATCATCCTATTCCTCTTGAATAAGAGTATCAACATGACCAACTATGTAAACTGAGGCTAAATGCACAAAGTTTTATTCAACAAGTGGCAAATTGCGGTTGTCCCAGCCAGTGCGTGTGCCCACTGAATAAACAACGTCAATATTAACAGAGTGAGGAATAGAAAACTGGAAATTCGAACGTCTACAGTTTTAGAGACCTGGAAGCTCAAAGTTAGGCTAGCTAAACATGGAAAACACCAAGAAAACAAACAGAAACGTGGACGTGTGGGGCGTGCGCTGACCTGGCCACATCAGGGGCGGTGGACGGCCTGACGTTCTTCATCACTGCTTGGATCCAGTTCCTGCGTATGCCGGCCGTCATGGCCGAAAGAGTGTAAACACCTTCCTGTGTCTACACGCAGCAGCACAGAGCGAGAAGCACAAAATTAACACAACGGGTTAAAATCAATGTTTTCATTCATTAGTGTTGAGCCAAAGGAAAAATGTTCTAATCTCAGATTTTTTAAATATTCATACGAGGCTTGTGTAGGACGTAGTTATTACAGGACAGAAGTGTCCAACAGCTTTGACGTCTCGAGACAAGCTTGAAGAGACTCGGGAGCGTTACAAATAAAAATGTTACAGCGTTACAGATAAAAACAAACAGCCTCTTACATGAACTTGAAAACCGTAGTTGCGCTGCGCCTGGTACTCAGTTACACTGTAACAGGTGGACAGGTCAATCTCACCGTCCAAGTCAGAGGCCTGAGGGCAGAAAAATGGAACCAACAGAGCAACTTCACAAAGACAGATGGAAAAAGTAACTGGGAAAGAAGCGACGACATGAGACAAAAAGGCTCACCTCCTCAGCGATTGAATCCTTGTAGTATCTCAGGCTGTGATCCGTCAGCACGAACCAGAACTTCTTCCACTGCAAAAAACACACAAAGTCCTGAGGCCGAGTCGTGAAAAGGAACAAGTTGGAGAAACTGTAGCAGCAGCCTGAACACCCTGTCTGTCAATCAAAGCTGCTCCGTGTGAAGGTAACGCTTTGCCTCTCTGTAGGTCACATGACACATAAGGACTCTAACGTCACGTGTGCCGCACAAAGGTAGCACCGACGGGAGCTCCGCTTCGACTCCATCTTTTTATGTCCCCGTTTGTGCTTCAACTTTTTTTTGCACCTACAACGCACATCCACGTTACGGGTATGACCACGATGCACTTGAGTTTTCTGTGTCGCTGCCTTGCCATCGTGGTTCCGTCCTTCCAGCCTCGGGTTCAGGCCTGACCCGTTCAGTTCCGCGGGAAACCTTGGATGTTCTCAGTCTGCCGGACCGGTCAGTATCATGCTGCTAACTGGACCATGTTGCTAAGATAACCTCACTGTCATCAGAACCACTCTGCCAATAGGACCATGCTGCTGTAGACTTGTTTCTTTTTCACTTTTGGCGCCTTGTTTCTGTATTTTTGTTGCATGCTTTGATATTTGTTGTTATTTTTTTTGGTGAGTCGAGACAGTTCTCGTCCTGAGCATTTCATTGTATCGTTGACCTTGTGTTGATTTTACATACGACAAATAAACCAAACCTGAACCTAATGAAGCCGTCAGTCCCCACCCTCATCTTGAAGTCCATTAAAGAGGAAACTAAAGTGAAGCTGCACTGAAAGGCTGCAGCTTTAGGTGACGGTTCAAAAGTTTTTGTTGAACTGGCCTCGACTACATTCACCTGGAATTACCAGTGATTCTGTTTTTACAGGTTTTAAAGTTCTTATTTTATAAATCAGCTGATAAGAATGACCACTTCTAGTACCTGGCCTTGCTCGTCCAGCTTCACCATCCATCCTTTCTTAAAGTTAAGCAAATCCGGCTGAAAAGAGAAGAAGTGTGCAGAGAACAAAGAGGTTTTAGCTTACAGATTTAAAGCACTTCACTGTTCCATCAATTGTGCACATTAGACCCTGATCTGAGAATAAAACAATAAAAATGCATTACTTCTTCATAAGAATTGTTCACAAACGTTGCAAAAATACACTCGATCAGTCAGTTAAAAGGACGAGGCTGGACCAGAAACAACTAGATGAGCCTTTAACATCTGATACGACTCCAGCCAGATCCATGTTTAAAGCTCCAGACTGAATTATTCAGTAAAGAACAATTAACAAAATGTAAACTTTAACACCGGAATGACGTGAGCTCATTGACCCACTTTCTTACTATCCATTTTAATATTGCTAATTGCATAAGTTGCAAGTGTTCAAAAACCCTGACGTTAGTTTAAAACAGCATTTTGTAGATCTGAGCCTGTATTTATCAAACTTCTCAAAGGGGAACTTTAGTCTCAAGTGTTGAGAATTTCTTAGATTTATTCCTTTCAGAATTGGGTGTAAACGGAAGTTATCAAAGTTCTTAAGGCTAAGAATCACTCTTCCTCTTCGGGTTATTTTAGACGGCTCCAGAGGTCTCAACTGGTTAGGAGTTGCCGCCAGGGGCCTGCGATGACACTGAAGACAGAGACGCTGCAAAACTTCCAGGAGAGGAATGTCTTGGAAATGTTTGGTGACTTAAGTTAAACGACACCGAATGGACAGAGCAGCCATCGTCTTTGTCACAGACTTGATGAGAGACATCAGTACCTGGTACTGCAGCAACACCACCTCAGCAGAATTAAAGGAAGTGATGACGCTTCGTTTCCTTGCCACAGAAAAATGCAGCAGCGCAATGTTGATGATTTGGGACTATCCCACTAACAGTTAGTCAAGTTGTCATGGAAACAATTACAGCACTTACAGCATTGCAACCCATTTCATTGACTTTCCAACAACACTCCGTGTTGTCCAACAGAAGCAAAACCAGTATAATGCAGTTGGATGGCCTTCCAGGAGTCAGTGGTGCAATTGATGGCATCAAGATGGGGCTGAACCCGAGGGCTTTCTCTGTTGCAGGTCCACGACTGTGGAACGAGTTGCCACTGAGTGTCCGGCAGGCTCCCACACTCTCAGTCTTTAAGTCTCGCTTGAAGACCCACTTCTATTCGCTTGCCTTTAACACGGTGTGATTTGTTTTGGTCCGGTCTGTTCTCTACTCTGTTGGCCATTTTAGTTAGCTTCTGCTGCTATTTGTATCTGTATTACTATTTTATGTTTTCCTGTCTGCTGTGCATGTTTGGTTCTTTTGTACAGCACTTTGGTTGGCCTTGTTGCTGTTTTAAGTGCTATATAAATAAATTGGTATGGTATGGTATGGTAAGATCATTGCTCCCAGCATTAATGAGGATATTTATGTAAACAGGAAGAGGTACCACGGCATCATCAACACTCCGGTTGTGTTTGATGCAGAATACATTACTCAGGTTGTATCTGAATGGCCAGGGTCAACCTTTGAAAGAGGACTTGTACCACCAGGATGTCATCTACTAGGTGATAAAGGATAGCCATTACGCTGCTCAGCTCTTTCTGTAAACCAGACACAGATGTCCAAGTCAACTACAACAGGTAGTCTATTTCATCTGTGTAGAATGATACTTTTATTTTAGAATAATCCTAATTTAGGCTGTAATTAATTTTAATGATCCCTCTCTAATTAATTTTAGGGCACACCACAATACAAGAAGTGTGGCAGAGAGAGGGATTGGCCAGTGGAAGCGCAGATTCCATATTTTACACTTAAAATTCGGGACACCTCTGAAAGAGTATACCGAATTATAAAGGCATGAGTAATTCTGAATAATATCTACAAGAGGAGCAACATCCTTCCCCTCCCAACACAAGAAAACTGCCAAGACGGTGATGAAGATGAGATGGAACAGCCTACAGACACTTTGAAAACCTCCATTTTAGCTACCGTACAACTTTATGTATCAATATGCAGAAGAACTAGGCATCGAAACAAACATGGGTTCAAGTATTTATTTTTCACACTTGTTTTGTTAGTGCAGTAATATTCACGCTGCAGTCTCAATACTTTAATCTGAAGCTTTAACTTGTCCTTTTTCAGTTCTTGCAGGTCATCTGGGAGCAAGTCGTCTGCCAGGCCTTCTTCAGACCATTCATGACTTGAGGTGCTTAGAACTGTCAAAATGAGAGGGGCACACAGAATCTGAGCTCAAACCAGCGGGTTGGGGGCCCCATGCACCTTCATGATCACTGAAGGATAACGTGTTTACTTGAAAATAAATCAATGAAAATAAAAATAAAAAAACTTGCCTTTGGGATAAATTTTCTATTTTCATTAATGCAGTCCTACACTTGGATGCTAAGTGACTTTAAGCACAGCTTGGAGCAAAGAACTTTTTACACGCAAGTCCATTCTTCAGAGTTTTTCTGAGAAGTTTGATCAATCCGGGCCCAGATTGGTCATTTTTAGGCAGAAACAATAAGACTAGCACAGTGATGTGTGTAGAGAAACAATCCTTTTGCCCCACAGAAACTCCTAATACAGCAGAGGGAGGATCAAACATAAGCCAGAGATGTTTAGTGACGTAGTCGTGTGGCTCTGTAATGAAAAACAAGATGATTTTTATGAACGAGAACAGACGCAGCAACGTATGGAACACCAAAATGCTCAAAATTAAATAAATAAAACATTATGAAATAAGAACATTTTTTAATTTTTATTCTTTTATTTCATAATTGTGTTTTTCATAACTGCTTATTTATTTCATAATGCCACTTTTCAGCAGAATGACTTCAGCTGTCAATCAACGTCAGTGGGTTGGACCTGCACGTCCACTGCCTGATCCTTCACAGCCATTTGTTTTCCTGCTCACTGGTACAGCTAGGGTTAATCTTGTTAAATTCAAAGAACTAAAACAGCGAGTCCTCCCGTGCGCGCTCCCATGGCGCAGATCGATTTTTGGCAGTCCATCACTTTTTGTCCTGACACCTGTATCTTCTGAGAACGTCATCCTCACAGTTTGATCTGCTAGTTACCTGAGCTGAACGAAGCTCATGCAGCTCGGCCATCCTTCATGACTTGACCTAGCAAGTCGCTGCTAGCTGCTATGCTAGCTGTGCCAGTGAGCAGATATTCAGGAAAACTAATGGATGTGAATGATCATGCAGAGTCATTATGAAATAAACAAGCCATCACGAAAAACACAATTATGAAATAAAAGAATAAAAATTAAAATTTTTCTTAATAATGAGCTTAGATACTTATTTCAAGATGCTTTATTTATTTAATTTAGAGCATTTTGATGTTCCACAGCAACGACCCTGGTAGTGAACACCTTATTGTGCTCAAAGACCACAGGAAGTGATCGTCTCATCCACACACATTTGACACATTTATTCAAGCAGCAGCAGTAAACACCGAGACAAACCAAATGAGTAGAACCTGAAGGGGGAGCAGAATGAGCTGCCTCCTGCAGTGAGGAGGTTCACCTCCTCCTCACACCAAGGCCAAAGAAATGATAGAAATAACAGAAATTAGACATTAAGGCCTAGTTTGCATGACTGGAAAAAGCATAAATAAGGAGAGTGAAGCAGCTCACAGCTGAAGAAGTCTTCAGTTCCAGAGCAAAACAACATGAGGCATGCAGTTTGTTGACACCCACAGACTTTCCTCAACCTTTAATTCTCTTAACTGTCGCCTAACTAAATCTGGCCTCTCAGTCCAAACAACAAGCCAGAGACTTCTTTCTTTCTGCTGAGGCCCTGGCACTGCAGCTGACCCTGGAACCTGCAGCTGACCGAACAGGAGAGGCTTTGTCCCACAGACCAGAGACAAACAGGAACCTCCCAGCATCCAGGCCCTAATCAGAACCGACCCAAACCTGCTCATTTATGAGTCGCTGTTCAGCAGCGGCTCCTCCGTCCAGCTTCAGACACAAGTGGATTTATTTCACACAGCAGGAGACATTTCATAGTTCAGTATTGAGTTCAGTACTGATAATGAAGAGTTCGTTTACATAAAATCATAAAAATTACTTCTTTTTAGAAACTTGCCAACACATTCTTATTATGACTTTAAAAAGGGTAAAACAGCTTTAGAATGCATTCAAGATGGTTCTAGCAGAGACGTTACAGTGGCCTGTCCTCACTTTGTGTTTGAGCTGTTGTAAAAGTGATGGCTTCATATCAAAAACAACATGTTCCTGGTCTGCCCTGAAAGCTCCTGCCTGGAGGAGGCATCCTTTTTGTAAAAAAAATCGTAAACTTTAGAAAAAGCTGAGCGAAGCACTCACCGTCATGACGGACTCTGTGGTCCTTCTGTCCAAAGACTTGGCTCTCCTCAGAGGAGGCAGGGTGGAGGGAAAGTCCAGACCCTCGTCGTCGTCTCGTCTCTGCTCCTGAACAAACAAACACACCTGGTTTCACACTGGTTCAAACTCATTCTGTACTCAAACTATGTTCGAGTCATAAATAATTACAGAAAATGTTGTGGCATCACTGGAATATTGTGTTTTTTCTGAAGTCCAAAGTAAAAGCACTCCTCTGATAGAGTTCTGCTGCAAGTTTGGACCAAAGTTCTGGAAAGCTGGTTTGTACTTCTGCTTTACAGCATAAAGAGCTGCTGAGACATTGTTGAGTGTATATTTTAGTTTTGCTCAAGTAAATGTGCGCTACCAAAGCACTCACACATGAGATGGGCAATTTGAAATTCACATATTTTGTAGATTTGAATAATATAGAGTCAAACCTTGAGCTATTTAGTTTGTTGTGATAAAAACAACCAACATCTTGTCTGGTGACAACAGTTATTCTTCTAATTCTAACCGATTCAACACTTCTCTAAAATCATGTTACCACTGTCCGTTAACAAAAACACAAAACTTTCCAACGTAACGAGGAAAGTTGAGCATGCACAATACAAACAGTCCAGAAAATGTAGAAACTGTTTAAATGCTGCTCAAATAGAAATAAATGACTGGCTCTGAACATGTGCACTGATAAGGTTGTAAAAAGACATCTTTATGGGCCAGATGAACCAGCTGATAAAGAACTCCAGTCTTTAAATGTTGTCGTGAACCCAACAAAGTTCAGTCACGTCATCTGGATGGTTTCATCCTTCATCCAAAGGACTTCATCATTTGAACCACTTCGGCTATGGCTGCCTCAGAGGGGTTGATGGGGTAGAGGGCGAGCACCAGAAGCCATTTTATCACCAGCAAACTGGTTGGTCCACTAGAAGTGTGCTGCTTGTGGGACTGAGTTTGTTTGTGGCTCCTTGGATTGATGAAGACCTTTGGATGAAGGATGAAACGTCGCAACAAAAAAATGAAACTGTCCAGATGACCTGACTGAACTTTGTTGGATCCTTTACCTGGATTACTGAGCATGAACTTTGATGTTATTGTGAACGTTTTACACCATTACATTGGTATCAGTTTCATATCCATGATTATTTTGGCAGGAATATTCTGAGAGTGTTGCAGGACCCAAGGCTGCACTACAACTGTTGATGCTCGCTGCTAACTGTTAGCTCCAAACTATCTCCAGGTTGCCTGTGGATAAACCCACGGTGGTGTGAAGGTGTGGAGCATAGTATTTGCTGCTCTGCGCTAACATTCTGGAGGTAGCTGTTTCCAGACGGAAGTGATCCACTTTGGTTTCGGCTGTGTTTAAACTAGCCAGTAGCTAGCATTTTTACAAACTGAGGTGTTTATAAAAGTTATGTACAACAGGTAAGATATACTTCAAAATAATCAGAATATCCCTTTGAATCATGTTTTAAATGACTGCAATGAAAACACAGAAGCCTCAGGTGAACATCCAAGATGAGAATGAAAACCAGAGCTGTGTACAAAGTGCACACACAAACAGTCTTTGAGGCTTTATCTGAACGTGTCTGTCATTTCATTTGTGTTGGACTGACACAGAGCTTGGCTCAGGACAGTCCGACAGCAGGAGCTTTGATTTGTTGTCTCCACCGCTCAGTTTGAGCTAACATGCCGAGTGAAAAGGTCCAGAGTGGGAAACCAAAGTGTTATCAATAGAAACTGACACAAATACCACTCACAGCTGACCTCTGACCTACAATCAGAACAGGCAGAACAGAGAGCAGGACAGGATGGACAGATGAGGACAAATACAAAATAGGAGGGGGGGGGGGGGGGGGGGGACTGGAATTTGCTCCAGTATTTATTCCCTTCTCTGTTAAAATCTGACCTGGCCAGGCCCCAGCCCGTAGCCATAAACTCCAAACCCCACCCGAACCAATGAACTAACAGTAATTACAGGTCCGAACCCCAACTCCACCCCCCCCCCCCTCCACTCCACTCCGGACATTTTAAATTAAGCTTTGACTGCTTATATAGTTATTAAAGGCCGGTGGACGCGCGTGACTGAGGGGGCAGAAGATCGGAGCTGAGGGGGTGTTTGTCCTTTCATGGCTGTCAAAGTGCATTAAATCTCTGCTTCTGCTGCATTTTGAATGAACGTCCATTTGGGCTTTGATGGATCACGTCCTGGCAGTATAGTCCCATCTGAAGCTTAAGTGAACTTTTTTTTTTTTTTTTTTTTTACCTCTTTCAAGGTCGGTCAGCGCGCGGTCAAATGGCCATGTGCTGTTGGTGATTGTATGGCAAGTCATGTTGCCATATAATTGGATCGTCAGCCGCGCATGTCAGCTGACGCAATCAAAAGCCCGACACCGGCCCGCACATTATTCTGGCCCGGCCTGGTCCTAATCCAGGTCATGCCGGGCTCCGGGTTCGAAATGACAGCTCTAGTTCAGTGTGTGCGAGCAAGCAGTACCTCTCTACAGCGCCGCCTCTGCTCACTACGACCCTGTCGGACACCACTCCTCTGTGTCGCCTCCACCTCCATTTTCTCTGGATTCTCCAGCTCCAAGGCCTCCAACTTCTCAATCACACCGGAGCGACTGGAAACACACAAGTTACACAACAAAAAGTAAATATAACTTTATTACATGATAAATACAAGTGAGTGGTGGGAATAATAATTGCTCCACAGTAATCTGACAAACACTTGAAGTGAGAAGCTGATCAGATCCCCTGCGCAGGTCTGGGACCAGCTGGTCTTTAATGTTACTGCAGACTGGAACAATTGTGTTTGTAAATCCAAAGAAATTCTCAAGAAAGTTTTAAGTCAGAAGTTGAAAATGCACAAATTCCAAGGTGGGAAAATCAAGTGAAATGTTGCCCTAAAGGACTTTTTAAATCCAAAAGTCAAGTGATGGTTTCATAACACCCCATCAGGGCTAGTTTATATTTTAAAAAGGGCTTTTAATAAAACTAAATCTTTTAAATGAACTCTGGACCAACCTGCTGCCACACAACATCAGGCAGGCCACCTCCCTTCCTGTGTTCAAATCTCTGCTAAAAACACATCTGTTCTCGCAGGCACTTCACACAGTGCGAGTTGATTTAGTTTTTTTTTTTGTTCTGTGTTCATATGTTTTCATTTTTTTATTTAATGCTGTTAATTTTTCAGTATTATCATTAGCATGTGCTAGTTTTTCCATTAATTTTACTCTCATTGATGTTATTGATAAGCACACTTTGGTAACAACTTCTGTTTTAAATGTGCTCTATAAGTAAAGTTGATTTGACGACAGAAAAAATTAATCCAGTTATCATCTGGATCAAGGTTTGATTTTCAGCCCACTTCTTTTGATTACTTGGTCGTCAAGAATATTCAGATGTTTCTTTAGACGACATCAATACACAAATAATGCTTTAAAACGTAAATACAACAGATTATATTGGCTTTAACTCCAAATAATTACCGGTAATATTATTATAATATATATTATTAATTATTGTATATAATTAATTCATAATAATACACTTGAAAATAATAATCTAAAATCAATATTTATCATCACGTGGTGATAATCATCACTGCATCACATGAGCTTGTGAAGAACGTTATTTACAAAGTTTGACCAAAACAGCTTCACTGCCGTCCCTCATCATCATCATCATCATCATCAGGTAATGCTAGTTGGACAAGTTGACTTTATTAAAAATAATATTAATCTCAGGTGAGCCGTAAATTCTAGACCCCCCCACCACCACACACAGACACACACGAGCTACCATCTGCAATAATCCTATGTGTGACACAGCACAGCAGCCGCTGGAACACCCCCACACAGGTCTTTAGTTCAGAGACGAGGATCTGCAGGAAGAGTTTGAGGCAGTGTGAAACATCGTGTTACTCAGGCTGGTTTGGAGACTCTTCTGTCAAAGCTGCCGTCCTTCAAACGGAACAAAGAGGAAGGAAAAGGCCCTTTTTGTTCAAACTCATCTACTAAATCCAACGAAAGAAAGTCTAAATCTAAACACTACATCTACCTAAAGAAAAGCTTTGCAGAGAGTGGTGAAGGCTGCACAGAAGTCTGTTGGAGTCAGTCTCCCCACCATCACAGACATCTACACCTCCAGATGCAGGAAGAGGGACACCTGCATCATGAAGGACCCCACTCACCCAGCACACACACTTTTTGCACCGCTCCCCTTAGGCAGGAGGTTGAGGAGCATGACGTGTAGAACTACTAGACTGAGGAACAGCTTCTACCCTGAGGCTGTTAGACTCATGAATCTCTAACCAGAATAATCACTGTGAAAAAAACACTGCAATGCCATTTGATTGTTGATATATGTGCTGCTGATCTTATGCTGCTGATTTATTTCTCACTGCTGCGTTCATTTGTACTCATCTGCTCACAGACTCATGTTCATGTTGCTGTTCGGCATATTGTTTTGTACTAGTGCTTAGTGCATTAGTTTAGCTTTGTTCTTAGTTCATATCTTAGATGTTATGACTGAATTCTGAGGCGCCTAAAGTTCTTGTTTTTTAGAACTTCACGGTGTTTCACGATGGGAGCTGCTCTGGCGTGACCCACCACAGTAAAACACGTCGCTCTAGGCTCTTTCACAGCGCACCACAGTCTGGTACTGAGTCGCCTCCATGTGACTAATAAATGTATGGAGGAGGTGAGGGGATCACAGCAGCCCACCTCTTATGTGTCGCAAAGTGACGTAATGACCAAGGTAGAACCACCAACATATGAAAAGTAAACTGCGGTGAAGCGGATCAACAATGTTCGTGACGGCAACACATTTAGTACAAAGGGAATATCCATGATGACTCACGGCAACTTTGTATTTAGTTTAAATAAAAACAGGTAACCAAGTTAATGGTTTTTGTTTTTAAATGACATGAGGCAGACATTTAATGTGCTGCGCCCCACATGAGCCCAGCTGAGGTCTGCTTCACTTCCACAAGCGGTCTGTGCGAGACGTGGTCGTCTCCATCACTGATTCATGAGATGGAGTTTATAGATGGACTGGTCTGTGCAGACCCAAGTTATCAAAGAACACATTAAGCAACCCAATAAGTCCTACCCCTAGTGTCCATTTAGTTTGAGCCCTAAACTTTATAACAAAAAAGGTTAAATCATGTCATCTGGACCAGTTTCTTTAAGTGAGAAACATTTCATCCCCTATGCGAAGGACTTAATCTGCGGCCTGCCAACCAGATCTGTCCCATACGTAGCCTTCAGTGGAGTGGTTCAAGCAAACCTCCTGCAGGAATCTCAGAAGTAGATTTTAACACGTGCAAAACACACCCAACCAAAACAATCGATCACCAGGAACAACAATCAAATGTTTTAAGCCACATGGCCAACTTGCTACTCACAGGAACTGCCTGAGGACAACCAAGGCCAAAGTGGTTCAGAAAAAAGGTTTGTAAGCTTAAACATCCAGACTGATGAAGTCCTCTGATGGGGGATGAAACATTTCACGTTTAAAGAAACTGGTCCAGATGACACCACAGTTCATGCTCATTAATCCAGGTATAAATCCAACAATGTTCAGTCAGGTCAACTGGACGGTTTCTTTTGTTGCCGAGACGTTTCGTCCTCCATCCAAAGGACTTCTTCAATCAGAGGAGCCACCAAACCAAACTGAATCCCACAAACAGCTCACTCCCAGCGTGGACAAAAACAGTTTGCTGGTGATAAGATGTCTTCTGGGGCCCGCCCTCCCCCCCCCCCCATCAACTCCTCTCATGACATGGTCCAGATGACATGATTTAACCTTTTTTGTTGTCATCTACATGGATGAGTGAGCTTACAACCCTTTTTCCTAAACTTTATAGTGGTAGATTTTGAGATGTTCAGACAAGTCTGAGTGCCAAACCAGTGTCTGATTGTACAAATGAAGATGTGAGTCACTTGTACTCGTACTGGCCCAAGTGGACTACTGAGGTCATGTAGTTATGAGGCGCTCAACCCATTTTCCTTTCTTCTTTTTCATCTCATGTCTGGCAATGATGGAAACGGCACAGGAAATGAGCTCTCGTAGGAAACAGATGACCCCCATCCTGCCTCATCATCAACTGCTTGTTTAAAATGCTGCAGCCTCCTGCGTGTAGAACCTGTGACCGCTTAATCGCTGGCCCAGAAGTAGATTACAGAAAAAATATAAAAACCGAGGGTGTTTATGCAATCTGTGCTAACACCGATATATTTTAGTTTAAAAAAAGACCGGGAGGGGTGTTATGCAAGTAGATTTCCTAGAAACACACACAAGACCAGCTCAGAGTGCAACAAATCCCACTTTGTCTTAATTTTAATCACACACATTTGTCTCATTGCTCACATTAGAACACACAAGTCGTGTTGAGAGTGTGTGAGCACATCAGAAGCTTTGTGCGTCACTGCAGTGTATTTGTGTGCACATGTCTGTAAAAGGATAAGTTGGAGGCTCAAGTATTTTCAGACTAGTGTCAGTAAAACAGAGCGGATTCCAAGAAGGCGGTCCACTAACCTGGATCATCAGCTTGATTATAGGCTTCAGCAGAGAACAGCGAGGGTTAGCACTGAAATCACCCGTCTGTATGCTTTATTTATTCAAAAGTCTTTCAGCCAATATATTCCTAATCAGCTCCATCAAGTAACTTTAATAACTACTACAAGAAATTCTCAAAACAAAAATCTTTGATTTGAAATTGATCCACATGGCAGCAAACTGTTCAGCAACTTCTGCAGTGAACTTTAGCCTACCACAACAGCACTTCAATAATTCTGCAGAAATGTGCTCTAATCCAGTGAGAACTCAAAAATACTGATTGACCTGGGAGCTATGACCACAGAATGTTGTGCAAAGGATGCCCAGTCCCAAAATATCCTGCACAAACTGCAGTAAAAACTTAGAAAAAGACATCAAAGTTCATGCTCAACAATCCAAGTAGAAAATCCATCAAAATTCAGTCAGATCATCTGGATGGTTTCTTTTTCTGGGTTTGTTGTGGCTCCTCGGACTGATGAAGTCCTTTGGATGAAGGACAAAATGTAAAAAAAAAAATTAAAAAAAAATCCAGATGACCTGAATGAACTTTGATTAGAAACAGACACATTATCAGAGTATTACAACTTAAATGAACAGCTTTTTTGGGTCTCTAAAAGTTTTAGAGTTGCATGTTATTATAAGAACTTGCAAAGTTCATTATGATCGTTTAATATTGCAATGACAATATCAGTTGTGATAAATCCACATTTTCGTCTCTTCTGTCACATCAGCGTTTCCACCAACCTTATCCAAAGGCAACGTGTACCACCCCATGAAGGTCAAGGCATTTAATGAAATATTAAAACGTCTGAATGTTCCCGTGGAGAAGCCAAAGCATCATCAACCATCCAATCCCAGCGCCGCACATCTGACCTCCCAGGACTTTTGGAGTTTGGACATGGTTTTGATTTTTTGTTGATAGGCTTAAAATCTTCCAACGGCTATCATCGGTTCAACTACTGGCAATTGGCAAGATATTCACACTAGTGACTGTAAGCCATTATTTTTGATGCATGCTCAAAATTCCAGGTAGAAAAACCCTAACATCTGTTTAGGATGCCTCCTGGACGCCTCCCTGGTGAGGTGTTCTGGACACGTCCCACCGGGAGGAGGCCCAGAGGAAGAACCAGGACATGCTGGAGGGACTACGTTTCTCGGCTGGCCTGGGAATGCCTCGGGATTCCCCCGGAGGAGCTGGCCCAAGTGGCTGGGGAGAGGGAAGTCTGGGCCTCCCTACTTAGGCTGCTACCCCCGTGACCCGACCCAGATAAGCAGAAGAAAATGGATGGATGGATGGAAAAACCCTAACAAAGTCAGGTCCTGGACAGATTCAAAAATTAATAAATAAAAAAAATAAAAACTTGTTGAAACGTTTCATCTTTGATCCAAAAGACTTCATTAGTCTGAGGAGCTGTAATAAACTCAGTCTTATAAATGGCACCTTCTTATAGTGCAGGGATACTCATTGCGTGGCTCGCCATGATTTAATGGTGGCTCTCGTGACTGGTTACAACAATACGCCAGCACAGCCAATACATTTTTAAAACATGCTGGTGCATTGTGCAATAATTGCGCATGTCGGCTCGGGCTTCTTTGATGTGGTTTTACGAATAATATGGTTTTAATCTACTTGTTGAGGAGGAGGCAGGTCCAACCGGTCGGTAGAGGTAAAAAAAACAACAAAAAAAAAACCGGCCTGTTAATCTCAGATGGATCAGCTGATCACCGGCCATGTGCGTCTCCGCACCTGTCGTCATCTGCAGTGAAGGAAGTAGGAGCATCTTAGCATTCTCAACACATATGTTTGTCGCTGTTGTCCACTGTTGTCATCACTCTTTGTTGAAATCAGGTCTCTCTTGTAAACGAGTCCTCGAGGCTCAGTGGGATTTACCTGTCTAAATAAAGGTTGAATGAAATCTTACAGGGTTAATAGGCATGGTTACATGAGGGGGCAGGCGGAAATGTGAAGGGGGCATCTTCATCAGTACACATATTACAGCATGTTCATTTTCATTTTATTTATGATTGTATTTCTTATTGTTTATAGAATTGTTCTGTTTTGTTTTAAAGAAACTAATAACCTTTATAATAATAATAATAGTCATTGTTGAGCATGGACTTTGGTATTCATTGTTACTGTTGACGTGTTTTCTTCATGGGATTGGAGTAATAACTAAAATCTGACATTTTGACACCTGTGAGTCAACATTTTCAACCATGAGCACTATCAAGCAAAAACAGAGACACCAACTGACCCATGCCCGTCTTGAATGCCTCATTGTAGTTGCAACAACAAATTACAAATACAACATGAAGAAAGTCAAGGACGTGCACCACAGCTTCCACTCCTCTCAGCACTAATGTACATTTTGTTCAAACAGATAAAGTGCTGGCTGTGTTTCTTTTTGTTCATAGGTGGGTTGTTTCATTTTTTTCTTTTATTTGAGTGACTTGGGGCGATATCGTGGCTCTCCCCTTGACTTTGATCTGTCAGTATGGCTCTTTAGAAAAAAAATAAATAAATAAAAATAGTGAGGATCACTGTTATAGTGGATCAACCAGTTTGCTGCTGACAGCTAGAACTAGTTGTTCACGTGATAATTTTATTCAATTCAGTTTATTTAAATAGCGCCAAGTCACAAGAGAAGTCATCTCAGGGCACTGAACAGAAACATTCATAACATAAAAAAAGGAGGGCCATCAGCCTAACGACCGACCGTCAGTGCCCTGAGTGATACTAGCAACAACAGCTGTAAGAGGGGGACAGTTGAACAGAGACCCCTGTTTAATGATAAACGGGTCCTTTTCACAAAGATGGCTGAGGTTCAGCGTGAGGGAAGAGGCAGCCTGAGCCGCCTTTAGCATTTTTAGCTAGCACGCCTGTACTGTATTGTGCACCGATAGTTTAGCACCATGGCAGTGCCGACGGGTGGGAGAGGTTGTGCACGCAGTTCGGTTCGGTAGGTGGGGCGCTCGGTTCTGGTGACGGGGCAGGGTGCCCCGCTTGTATAATGTTAGAGGAAACACTGCTCTATATCTCTCTCGGACCCGGAGTTTGGTCACACGCGCAGGTTGCACATGTCTGTACGATGACAGTGCTCTGAACACATTCACATTTCATACAAAGTAAGATTTTAAAAACAAAAGTCCAGAGGAGGTTAGGGCATGGTGTGGGAGGTGGGGGTGATGGTGTATCAGTTCTGGGATCTCTCTTGGCTGCAGTGAGTTGGTCACGTGCCAACACAGACGTTTAATACGTAGACATTTAATAATTTATTAGACGTCATCACCCTCATGAAGGGGCAGGAGGATCTGTCAGGGTGGTGAGGTGTCCCCCTTGGCTTGCTGCAGGTGAGCTTTCACCTGCAGTTGATCTCTGCTGCTCACACCATGACGCAGACAGCAGGCCCCGCCCTGCTCTGTCTTGTCTTTACTGGTTGAAATCAGCGTTAGTTTAATTCCTCTTCTGTCATTAGATTGGATGGCATTACCAGTACCACAACAAAACACTTTTTCTTCCCCCTCCTCATTTGTACAGATGACAGAAACCCACCGCAGTGACTGTTTGAGCTTTAATCCATGTTATAATTACCTTTTTTAAGTCACTGGCAGCACAGATTAATGTAAACAAATTAATTTTTTGACATATGAAAATCATTTCAAAACTGTTGATGTCTACAAGGAAAAACATCTCAAATTAAATTACAACTCCCATACAGAACATGAATGTATGGTACCAGAAATATCATTTGTCTACAATTTATTGCAGTCCAAGTAGTCTTCTGCATTATTGATACTGCACCTACTACTATTAAATTAATGTTATCTTGTTGATACATCGTGACCTAGACATCCAGGGAAAATGTTAAAGGGTAAATTTATTCAATTTTGCCTGACAATTTGTTGTTTAAATTCATTTCAAAACAGAAATTACTTGTGCCCTATCTACTGTATCCAGAAGATACAGTGGGAAAACATTGTTGTCTCAAAAGAATCCTCATTAAAAACTATCACAAAGTCAATTGTTTAAAAAAAAAAAGCAGAGACAGGAAGCAGGACCAGTTATGGATGGACTAGATTAAATATTCACTGACCTTCTCTCGGGACTGAGGACGGCCTCTCTCTCCGGCCTCTCAGGGCTCCTGAACCGACTTCTTTTCTCAGCCTTTCTGGTTTCGGCCTCCATTCGGCGGGAGCGCGACGCCTCGTGATGGCCGCCCCTGTGACCGGTCGGGTGGCTGTCGGTGCTTGTGACCGTGCTGCCGCTGGCGTCCGAGTCCAGAGAGCTGACCGAGCCGCTGATGTGAGAGCCATTTGAGAGCAGGGAGCTGCTGGAGGGGAAGGGTTCACTGGGCACTGGAGAGAGGCAGCGAGGGACTCCTCCCAAACTGGAGCAGGAGCCCGTTGGGGAGAGCGGGTCAGTGGTGGGCAGGGGAGCAGAACTGTGCAGGGTCAGGCTTCTGCGGTTCAGGTCGTTCCCATTCACTGACCCTGCATCAGAGCCGTGCCCTACAGGTGCACACTCACCTAAGAATGAAGACAAAGAAGACCGTGAGAAATGTTAGCAGACCATCTTGTTTGAAGATGGCAGTTCAGAGGTCTCGAGCTGATTTTCCATTGGAAAAGTTCGACTCCGCTCGGCTCCTGTCTTAATGGTTTTTCTCAGGTGTGGCTGATTTGCCACGGTGACTCGTTTCCCCACTCTGTGGGTGGGATCATCCATGCAAAGTGGGCGGTATCGTAACTGGTCATTGTATTGGAGCCACTTCAGCCATTGTAGTCCTTAATCACACTTTGGCTTATCCCAGTGCTCAGAAGTCCGGTTGCAGCAATCATCTTCGATATTTCTCTGTAAATGTGATCATTTCTCGTGACACTGTCCGTCAACACGATCAAAGAGGAAGTGGAGGTTCAGATGTAGTTTGTAGTTCTGCTGGGTGGGTCATCCAGTGACGTAGCTCCTCTGGCCAATCAACAGCTGCTGTCTGCTTATGTCCAAATTGTCACCTCAGAGCTTAGTTAGGAACCTCCAACAAGGTGGTCCCATAAACCGGGCTGAGTGGGGGTGGGTACGGGCAGTGGGCAGACCCTTAACTGGTGCCATGTGCTGCAGAACCAATGAGAGTTGAGACAGTGGAACAGCACTGTATGCTTCCGCTGTCCAAGGTTCAAGATTCAAGGTTCTTTATTGTCATTTGCATCACATGCGGTACATGAGCTGGAACGAAATGTGTACTCAAGGTCCCAGTTACACCCAAAAATAACAATAATATCAAGTATAAAAAAAGAAACCGTATATAAGGATCTAAGATATACACTAAATAATGTAATATAATATGGTTTATTAAACAGCAGCCTGAACATGAGTCTGTTGTGAGCAGAAGGGTATGAATACAGCCCATCAGCCCACAGCATACACATCAGCAACAAGAGAGCATCACAAAACATATCTGGCTTTTGAACTAAAAAATAAATAAATAAATTTAAATAAATAAACAATAGTTTTAGTATTTTGGTGCTTTTACACCAAACAATCCAAACATTAAGGTAACGACCGACATACTAATTAAAACTGAAAATAAAAACCAGTTGGACCTGAAGGATTCCTGATACACTGTAACATGAACATACTTGGGATCAGTTTAAAAAAATAGAAAATATTACAAATAAAATGTAAAGAACCTCCATACCTGCAGAGGGCAGCGGTGATGCCAACGAGTCAGCAGCAGCCCACACAGCTGCGCTCTCTGCCTCCCTTTGGTTCAGCTCCTCCTGCCAGATGATGGAGCTTGAATCTGGACTTTTATCTGCTTCTGGGATTCCAGAACCGGTCACAGCTACCTTGGCTGGACCGGGCTCCTGAAAGAGATGAGAAACTTGTTGGACTCTTGAAGTTACTACGACTTTGACACACAGCTTTAGCCTTGTGAGTGAAGAAAACTACCTGGGAGGTTGCAGGTTCTACTTTTCGTTTCTTCTTCTGATTTTGTTTGTTGGTTCGAGGATACACACTCAGCTGTTCGCTCCACCTACAAATAAAACCGTGCATCTGATACTTGTACATTAACGTTGTACCAACTTATCAAATGACAAACGAGGAAATTACCCATTAATGATCTCTTTATTCTCTCCTCTGATAAAGTATTCCTGTTCGGGGGTGATGATGCACAGCGAGTTCTTCTGGCCTGTTTTGGGTTCTGCGTCGATAACATCTGTGCAGACGTTCATATTGACAGTACCCTGAGGTAGTGTACTCGGCTGGAGGACACAAAACATCACAATTAGAGGTCCAAGTAATTGGGCTATAAAACAAATCATGTTCCTTGGATGAAGAGCAAAACAACTTCAAGAAACCAAAAGGTCTAGTTGCCTACAACAACAGCTGCTGAGCTTTAAGGGACTGAAGCTTCTGGTTGTCAGACAAAGTTACATCTGTCAAACAGTTTTTTATGTAAAAAGTTAAGACCCTTCACATCTAGTTATGAAGAAGACATATGCATGCATGCATTGATACTTTTATCATTTACAGAGTCACAGCAGCAGCAGGGTCACACACAGACAATAGCACAAACAAGATGTTAATAAAATATATAAATAATAATACTGAAATAATTAGGGATGCACGATACTGGATTTTTGGCCGATATCCGATATGCCAATATGTTTAAACTTATTTGGCCGATAACTGATACCAATACTGATTTTTTTCTCTCTCCCTAGACCAACTTACAGAGACTACATAGATTTATTTGCTGTGGAATTAAAATACAACATTATTCTTCATGATCTTTGTCAGTTTAGCCTGCTGCCAAATGCTAAAAAGGAGCTGAAAATGATGCAACACTTCAACTTGGATTATTTTTAATGTGAAATTTATTAATGACATTTACTCTCTCTAACACAATGACAGCACTGAAACAGAGCAAATTTGTACATTTTCACTACTCTAAACTCGACCTGTTCATAAGCGACAAGTGAAAAGTGTATAAGCAGTAGTGCATTGATACTTGACAGTTTCTTAAATAAAAAACAACTTAAAGCCTTTTACATTGGTGAGTTATTTTGATGGAATGGCCGGTATCTGATATTAAACTTTATCGCTAATGTCGGCCGATACCGTGCCAATAATATTGTGAATTCCTAGAAACAATAAAACCAAAATACACGTATACTAAAAAATAAAAATGGTGCATAAAAATACAATGAACCAAGGTGGGGGACATCAACACCAAGTTAAACACTTTGTGGTAAAACCTCCAGAAATCATAAAACTTAATGGCCATGGAAGAACATGAAATATGTCAAAATGACAGTTAGTTATGAGAAGTCCAACTTTCTGTGACTCATTACAACCTTGAACTTTTTTTTTCTACTGAGAAATATGTCTGAGCTCTACAGCTGCAAGGATAGCTGGGTTTTCTCACTCATTCTGACAATATTCCATTGTTGTGTATGGAAATGTTTTAGTTTTGGGAAAAATTCATCTACCGCCATCTAAAGCCATTGCACACTATTCATGATTAAGCTACACACTTTGGTGGGCTATCTGATGGATTTGTCTAAAACGGACAGTATTAATGGTGTTTCCAAGCTTATGAGTTGCTATCCTTAAAAAATGATCAAATGTGGGAAACGTTTTAAAAAGGGAAGCTACTGATTTGTTTTATGTCCCTGTCGACCCAACATATTGTTTGCATAGCTGATGGGAGAGGGCTTGATTTAACACTGATATCACTGAAATCCAAACAGTTTCAAACTCAGAGAAGATCTAAGACAAACATGTCCCACAGTCCTACACTGTACAGACACCATGGTTACCAGCAGATCCTCTCAGATGCATCACACACAGAAAAAAGGCCAGGACAGCAACAGGATGCCAAACTAAAGTCCTTTTGTGTGTGAGATCAGTGAGAGTCCTCTGAGAACCAGCACAGGACTGGGCAGCTAAAGAAAAGGAAAAATCCTGCATTTTTTAAACATACAACACAGATTTATTTTAAACCTGCACAGTCTCATTACCATCAGACAAAAATAAATCCTATCCAACCTTCTCTTATCTTCTCGGAATCCAAGCAATTTCTTATCAGGCTTTTGTGTGCCTGCACCAGATGTTAAAAGCTCCTTTTAAGGCCACTGAACACAGAATCTAACTTTATTAAGATCTGCCTGCAAACCCCCAAAGGGCTGCCAAATATGGAAAATCTACGACGTCACAGAAATGAGCTCAAGATGCAGGGGAAGGTTTTCTCTAATGGAATGAAGAAGAAAAAAATAAAGTGCATGAATTTGATAAAGAAATTAAACGTTGATGCAGGTTCAAGAAAAGTGCACAAAAAACATGAGTTATCACATAGATATGTATTGGTACCAGCAGCCTTGTCTATTTAGGAAGCTCTAAGAACAGTGCAGTTAAAAGTAAAACTAAAAACCAAACAAAAAGCGAGTCGTCCAACTGACGTGAAATGTTTAGCAGACTCATCACTAAGTAAAACTCATGTGTCCTTCAGGCACCAAGTATCACAGTAGTAATTGATTTCTACAGAGAAAGCACATTTAGACCCAATACATTTTTGTTAAAAATAACATTATTAGCCTACTGTTACCATACCATTTTAATTATAAAGCACTTTAAACAGCGACAGGGCCAACCAAAGTGCTGTACAAACAGAAACAAACAGGCAAATCACACAGCAACATATAACATAACGTAAAATCAAAATATAGAAACAAAATAATAGCAGATAATAACATAATGACTAACACAGTGCGATGCATACTGGTTCAACACAGATCTTAGAGTGTTGAAAGCCAGGGAATAAAAGTGTGTTTTTAAGCGGGATTGAAAAACTGTGAGGGAGGGGGCCAGCCTGACAAGCAGAGGTATAACTCATTCCATAGTCTTGAGTCTGCGACAGAGAAGGCCCTGTCACCTCTGCGCTTAAGACGAGTTCCTGGAACTGTGAGAAGCAACTGGTCCGCTGATCTCGGAGAACGCGGTGGGACATACGGCCGCAGCAGATCAGTGAGATAGGAGGGTGAAGAGCTGTTCAGTGATTTATAGACACACAAGAGTATTTTGAACTGGATTCGAAGGTGAACCGGTAACCAGTGCAGTGAGGCCAAAACTGGTGTAATGTGCTCTCTTTTGCCTGTACTGGTTAAAAATCGGGCTGCCGCATTCGGGACCAGTTGTAGTCGTGCAATGGAGGTCTGACTGATACCAAACAGGAGGGAGTTGCAGTAATCAAGACTGGATGTTATGAATGCATGTATTACTGTCTCCAAGTTATTTTTGGACAATATGGGCTTCAGTTTAGACAGCCGCCTCAGTTGGAAAAAATAGGATTTAACAATCATATTTACATGACTGTTAAGTTTCAAGGAAAGGTCCATTATCACTCCCAGATTAGTGACTCTGTTTCTCTAACGGGGCTAGAGCAGAAAGGTCGATGCAGTGGTTGATGACTGTGTCATTGGGAGGAAACAACATGACTTCAGACTTCTTCTCATTGAAACTTAAGAAATTTAAAGCCATCCAGTCCCTGATGTCAGCCAGGCAATCAAGCAGAGGTTGAATAGAGCATGTACCATTGTGTCTTAGGGGGAAGTAAATTTTACAGTCATTGGCGAAGAAGTGAAAGTGTATGTTATGTTTCTGGAAAATAGCACCTAGTGGCAGCAGGTATAAAGAAAATAGAAGGGGACCGAGGATGGACCCCTGCAGTACCCCCTATTTAAGCGCTACCGATGCTGAACTAAAATCTTTGGAGGCACAAAAGGATCTGTCAGCGAGGTAGTATCAAAACCATTTGAGGGCTGACCTGTGATGCCCATCCACTGCTCCATTAGTATATTATTACTATTAGCCTATTAGTAGCCTTGAGCCTGCATCAGGATATTAGCCTACAATTTTCCTTTGGACTAAACCATCACTGCAACAAATCATTGGGCAGTAAAATGTTTTATTCAAACATCCATTCATCCAGTTACTTCCTCTTCCAAGGATGGGTTTGAAGGCTACAGGTCCAGGAGGAAAGCACTCAGACCTCATTCTGTCTGTCCTCAGTGGGAATAGTTAAAAAATTATATTTAAAAGGAGGTGTCCATGGAGGCATCCTAACTCAATATCCAAACCACCTGTTGACGTTTAAGAGCAGCAGCTCTGGTCATGGCTTGAAGACAAGAACAGAACCACATCATCGGCAAAAAGCTGAGACACTGAGGTTTCCACAACACCCTCCTCCCCAGGACTGTGCCTTAACTTCCTGTTTATTAACAGCGCAGGATCAGAGAGCCTGGCTGAGTTGTGTAACAGTCATTCGTAGAAATTATTAAGAAATAAAACCATATTACATGTATTTTACAGAGTAAAAGTAGCAGACTCAGAAACTTCAACAGCAGGCTTCTGGTTGCTGCTGTGCAGTGGAGCCTGAGATCCTCCATTCATCCGATTCTGCTGCCATCAACTCGAAGGCAACGTGTTGCTTAGGGACTGTATTTGGCTACTGGCTCCAAAACAATGGGACCACAACTGCCAAAACACAAATCAGCTGTGCTGAGTTTTATTTCTATACAACTGGCCCAATTCCATATCCTCCAATTGTGTTTGCCATTAAGAATGGCAGCCATTTTTAGCTTTGCTATGAGATATTATTAAAAGTAACAGCTTTCTTACAAAGACCCCAGGCTGACATGACATAAGAGGAAACATTAAAAAAAATTAACGAAGCACAACAAAGAAAGACCATTTAAGTTTTTTTTTTTTTAACCAAAAAAATGCATTTAAGTCAATAAATTGTCTTTGCTCAGAATCTTCATTTTTATTATAGCTCATTTAATAAAAGTTACGAAAGATGCTGTAAAAGCGGCATGAAAATAATTAGTGGGCCAGCTCTGGAACTAATTGGAGCACACCCACTCTATAAATGATATAAATCCTCCAGGAGGCTTTTACTGGCTGAGCCAAAGGCAAGTTGGCCTCAGCAGGCTCCTGAGAGGAAACCGCTGCTTTATATGATGCATGTTCTTCAGCAGAGCAGAACCTAACAGACAGAACCCAACTCTGCTGGTCACAGAGTTTAACTGGAGTATAATGTGGAACACGAGCTCTTATCTCCAGAGGAAAGCCCAATGGTTTGTCTTTTATTGGTGTAGCTGTGGTCTCCTCCTCGTAATGTTAAAAAGGTTTAAGGGTGGTCCATTTATCTAAAATAATGTCTAGCTTCCTACTATTTTCCATTCCTTCTTGATCTTTTCAC